TNTCTTTCTTCTCTCTCTCTCTCTCTCTCTCTCTCTCTCTCTCTCTCTATTTATGTCTTTCTCTCTCTCTCAATTGTCAACAAACCAAATCTCATTCTAGGATACTGTGTACACCAAATGTTTCCATATTCCTGGAGTAATTTCTTTTCTTAAGAAACATACGTTATTTTGTTTCGCGTTTGGTATACTTGTTTTCTGAAAGGTCAGACTTTCAATTCATGAAATTTTAATTCTGCTACTTTTTTCTTTTTCGAATTTGCATTACCATTTCAATTTTCTGACCAAATCCAAGTTTATTCTTTTCTTTTTTGAAAAATAAAATATAAAGTTAATTATAAAAATATTTGGTTACATCAGATATTAGTAATTCACATTCACAATTTATTAATTTTAATTGTTTTATTCTTAGTTTTAGGTTGTTGAAAAATTATATTAATTTAAATTTGAGAAAATGACAAAGTAGTGCAAGTTATCTTTAAAAATTAATCATAAGAACAACACAAAATTGTAATGAATGAATAATATACCTTTATCAAAGAAAATAAAATTCAGGAAGTAAAATTCTCGGAATGCCTTGCGGAAAGTGTAATTGGGATAAAGAGCCCATGTCTGAAATCAATTGACCACTCAAGATCACTTCGTTCGCTCCAAGTGGTAGTTAAGGTTAAGTAAAGGAAACTCTTTAAGTTTCAAAAGTTAGTTCCAAGCCAAATCTTATACATGATACAGTTAACTTTTTCATTGAGTAATAAATTCAGAAGAAATGATTGAAAAAAAAAATTCATAAAAACAATGATTTTAAAATAATCAATCAATTTTCAAATTAACCAATTTTGTTTTAAAAAAAACCACTTGATTTAGAATTATGGTTAATAATTTTGAACTTTTTTCTTATCAAGTTATATAAAATGTTAATATATTTGCAGGATTTCAGAAGATCATTTTTAGAGTCTAAAACAAATCTTTTAAAAAATTAATTCTAAAAAATTCTAAAAGCCAAAATAAATTTGGAAAATCAAGTCTACAGATTTGAAGGATTAAAAACTAAAATTCTTTTAAAAAAATATATTCTATTAGAATGTTAATCCTAAATGTCAAAACACAAAAATTACATACGCTTTGACGTCTAGAATTGAGCCCAAAAGTAGCCAAAGTTCCACGAATATATCAACACCCTATATATCTACCAAGTAACAAATCACAGCACAATCTTACTCAAGATCTTCAATCACTATATACCATTCTCTCCTAAAAGCTCGAGGCGATTCGTGATAACGCCATGGTTCGATTTTAGGGGATCGTAAATACCAGGCCGTATTCGAATATCCAATTGGCTCAGGGGAAGTTAACCGGACGATACAACGTTCCCACTGGGGGGTCTGATCCCGCAACCGCGACCACCGCAAATGGAAAAGCCCCGTAAAAAGTGGTGTAACCCGCTTTCCCTATCAGCCATCCCACGATTCGCAGCTGCAAATCCATTTTTCTTCCCTCGCCTAACTCCTGTTCAACTTTTTCTACCTTTTCTTCCCAATGAAACGTTTTATTTATTTATTATTTTTACGAGTTCGAATTAAATTTGTTCGAGAATTACTATTAAGCTTTCAAAGGATATAATAAATGGAATGTCATAAATGAGAGTATCGTAAATAATAGATTTACAAAAACTTGTACGTGTACTTAGTATGTATATATTCTTGCTAAAAGATATATTTTACTTTTAATAAAACTTTTACTAAAAATTGTAAATAATAAATTGCATTCGTTTTTCTGGTATTCCTATTTCTAGTGTACAATTTATACTTTTTTATTTGTTTGTTATTTTATTTTAATCATTAAGTTTAAATTTCATTTGTTTCTTTTTAATATCATTTTTGATATACTTTATATTTTTTCACTAAATTATGAAATTAAGTAATATTCTTCCATATATTTAAATATCTGCCAAATGTGAAATAAATATAATTATTTTATGATTTTCATATATTTATAAAAAATAATTGGCTACATTTTGTTTATTTAATCATATATATATATATATATATCATTGGTTGCTAACATATAAGTGTTCGTAATACAAATTTAAATAGCCTATAACTTTAAAAATAAATTAAAGATTCAATTGAGCCTTTTTATATATAAATTGTTTTCCATTATCTTGACATTTAGATCTATTCTTTCCAGTCTTCTAAAGATTAATTAAATTTTATTTTCCAAAAATCCTGAAGAAAGTCGATGAGACAAAAAGTGCATTTAAGCATATACGAAAGAAGTTTAACTCGAATAAAATTAAACATTTAGGAAAGGAAATGGCTAATTCTCGTTTCTTGCGAAATTAACATCTACCAAACATTGAACTTTCTACTATCGTCTTTCCACGGTTTTTATTTAATTAGATCGTTCAAATAATGCGCCAGAGTTTTGGAAAATTGCGATGTCATTTGCTTAACGCTGTTCCAAAACATGCAATTTTTACTGCTTTAATTAAAATTTGTTCTTCTATTACATATAATTTTATTTTTGTTTATTTAATTGAGAATTTTGCTCTTATTTTACAAATGTTGGTTAAAAATATGGAATAACAGAAATTCCAAAGAGATGGAGAAAAATAGCACTAGTTTTCCTAAAATTCTTAAGTCACACTCTGATGTAATATTTCAATATTAATAAAACAAATCAAAAATAAAAAAAAATATATATAAATATTAAATCAGACTTATAATCCAGAACAAATAAAGAAAACAATTGTAAAATTAAAATTCTTTGAATCCTTGAACGAAGAGTCGATGTTTCCAATTTACTTGGATAAGAATAGAAAAATCGAGTGCCCGTGATAATAATTCAAGAGGAACTTGAAAATAATCGGATGCAACGTTAGTTAGGTGAACGCTTTATCTACAAACCTGGCATCATTGTTCTCGTATGTAAACGATTGGAAAATATCACGAGTGAAGTTAGTTAGGATTTAGTGGTTTTTGATAAGGAATACCAACCAACGTAATTTATTCTCGTCGAGCAGCCGTCTCAATGATATCGAACAATTCAGATACTTTTTCTTGAGTATTGACTTTTCCAATATGGTATCGGCTTACCGTTTCCATGGAACTCTCGTTTCTGCATTATCGAACTTCTTAAATTGGTATTATGCTTTTAATTTACGAATGACAGCTTGAATATATATTCGGCGATATAATCAGTAAGGAGATGAGGATATTACAGATTTTTATGGCGGTCAAGGATAATGTTTCCATTCTTGCCTCCGTAATAATGTCACTATGTTGAATTACTATCTTCTTTTATATCTCGAAAATCGAGAGAGTTATTTGTATAGGAAACGATACTTTCTGGCGTCTTTTTGTTCGATATGTTTGTATAGGGATTTTAAAGATACCATGCAAATCGCAAATATCACGTCGTGCAATAAAAGAAGCATAGAATATCGGTGCTTTAATATCTTCCATACGAATATTATGTAAGAAAATAATAATGGAACATTTCGCGTATATGAGATATTGTGCACGAGATATGAAAGAACGAGTTTCTCTAAACGTAAAAATATAGGTGTATTGTTATTGTGATGCCTGGGATTTGTGAATAGAAGTTATATTTACTAGGGATTTTATTCTAAATTTTTTACCGAGGAATTTATTCGAGATGTTGGATCGCATTGTTGGTAGATTGGAATATATTTTTTTTTTAATCGATACGGCTTAAAAACTGTATATATATAAGTCACAACTAGAATTATTACTGCAAATGTATTAGAAATTCCTAGAAATTTTTAAGAAAAATTTCTCTTATTATTTCTAATATTTCTTGAGTTATACGATTTCAAAGTATCTTCTATAAAGAATCTAAATAAATCGAAAAACAAATCTCTTACAATAACAGATAATAATCGAAAAGTAACCAGATGTTGATCGTGACTTTAACGAAGTCCATTCGAAATAGGACAAAGGTTAAGAAAAAAAGGAGGGATCGTGTACGATAACAAATGTGCGTTGAAGGCGATTTCAGACTCGTAATGAGAAATTTCTCCTAGGGACATTTTGTCGAGGTGCATCCTAGTCGGCTTTGTGCATCCTCCATTCCCCACTATCGTCGCTTTGAGGCATACAACGGCTCCTAATTAGGCCAAGCAACACGGCTTCGAGTTTACGAGCCTGTTCTCCCCACTCTCCACCCCCGCTGCGCGCGCATAACCTTATCCCAATGCGGCGAGATATTACGTGCATACTTTCTTCGAGAGTCGTTTCGTGACCACATTCGGCGCGAATGAAAGGCTACAGGATAGAGTCAAAGGGACTAGAGGTATTTTTCAATTAGAGATCTGTTAGACCACAAAAGAGATGGAAGAAAAATGCCAGAAGGTAGAAAAGACGCCCGTAAAGAAGGATGTGGTATGTGGAGTGAGAAGGCTGCGGGTCTTCGACAATTGTATCTTTGTTTGAACTGTGTTAGGTGGCAACGTACAGGAAAACGAAACGAGATCGGGAAAATTTCTCTCTCCCTGGATTTATCTTTACCTTAAAGGAAATATACCTTTATGCAATTTCTTTGGTTACTTTGGATTTGTATATTGTTCTAATATTAAGGCATATGATATAATCATATTTTTTATTTTTTTTTTATTTAATAATCATCGAAAAATTGAGATTGAAATTATAAGTTATATGTTATAACTCGAGACGATATTTATTTATCATTTCTTGTGCGATTTTTATTCTTATAATAATATATGATTTTATTCTAAATATTACATCTCTTACTTTAAAAAATTCTCTTTTTCTATTAATTATAATCATACGAATGTTTCAGAGCACCGACTGTTATTCTATTTTATCGAGGATAAATATGTATTTTGAATATATTTGAACAGGCAACTTAGCTCTTGTACTCTCAACTATTATTAATCTAATATTATTAATCAATCTCACAAAATTGTTGAACTTTTCTATATAAAAAGTTATTTTCCTGTAAGTTTAATTTTAAAAATATTTTCCAAAAAAATAATTATTCATAATTATTATTCGAAACAAAATATTTACTATGAAGTATAGCGAATTCTTTTAGGAATCGCAGCTAACCAATAAGCACGATTGTGGTTAAAATGCAGTATTATTTATTTTATTGAAACGTTTGATTCTGATTGATATTTCTTGATAAAACCACAGCTACGAATAGCGCAAGCAGAACGATATTAGTAGAAATTGCAGTGGACATTTAGACGGCCGCATCGGGCCATCATTTAACCCAAAATTGTCCCAGTACTGTAGCAAACGCGGCGTTAAATGGTATCGCTTCATTTAACGCTGTTCGCAAAGATGGCCATACCTAAATCCCGTTTTATTGAACTAAGTTCAACGATTGTTCAAACATCTATGCTAATCATCCAGTTGAACTTATCCATGAAGATAGAGAGAATTGATCGACGATTAATCTTGCTGCTAATTATTATTTTTGAAGTTAAATATTTGATAAAATTGATCATTGAAGAAACATTTTACAGAGCGACACCAATTTTCTATTTTATTGGATTAATAAAATGTTGCAAATGGTTTCTTAAAATTAAGTAAAGAGAATTCTTTAATTTTTAAATCTATAATTTTAATTACCTGCAAAATTTTTTTAACCATCAGGAGTTCTTTTGAATTTTTTCAACTTTTTGTAAATAAAGTAATTTTCAAAGAAATTTAATTTACGAATGTGAAAGTAGAAGATTTCAACTTTTAAAATAATCCCATAAAGATTGTTGTACAACTATTTTTCATATAATTGCATCGATTCTAAGACTGACAACAATTCTGTAAAGTGTCCAAATATTTGTGAACGATATACGTTTTATCATCTAAATTACCAATTACAATCATGTTAGAGAAATACCACTTTGCCAAATTTTGTTGAAATCGGCTCGAGTCATATCCACCCTTGTCGGATAAGTAGGTTAAGGGGGTTGTTGCTTAGGAAAGGAACACGTGAGGAGACGATGGATCCATCGTGTATATTGTGACGACACGTACACGAGGTTTATATGCGCGAACACGAGCGGACCCGGCCCGCTTTTACATTGGAAACGCGCCACCAAAGACTCCCTTTATCGATAATATCTTCTTGTGCCAGCACCCGAGGGGCCTCGAGAGATGTTTCTCACGTCTGACGCGTTCCTCTTCTGCCTCGAGGTCAGAATTTTTGCGTGTGTTCCAGTATGGTAATGTCAGAGGAGGAAGGCGAAGGATGATGTTCCTGGAACCATTTTAAAGATTTAGGGATCCTGGGCAGCTGTCCATGGAGTTGTCCGCTCTTGGTGAATTGGAAAACGATATTCGAAAACGTGAGCGACATATTTATTACTTAAATTGAAGCGTCTGGATTGCGGATATTTATGTGAATTCAAATTTTCATGAATTGAAAAAAGTTGAACTGAAATTGAAATGAAGATCCGTTCCTCTAATTATTATAATCTTATAGCTTGTTTTGTATATGATTTATGCCCTTTTTGCATATTGTATGCATTCTTCTAGATATTTGTACATTAATATTCTACTTTTTTTATTAAGTTTGATTATAATTTAATAAATATGTCTCAAAGAATATTTTTGTGTGCCCAATTCTATATGTTTTTTATTATAATACTAAATACCTTACCTAAAAAAGTAGATACACTGTATATTAAAAACATATAGTATTATAATATCGAAATCTCCATGCCAATTATAAATAAAAACGAATAAGAGCAAGAAAGCTAAGAGGCATCATAAGGGATAAAGTTTATCTTATGAATTATTTGAAAAATACGGATTCAAATCTCGCTTGATCAACTCGTTTTTTTTTCAATTTTTACATATTATATTCAATATATATTCATATATTTATCTAGTAGTGTTAATATATTTATATATTAATATATATTTGTAGGATTCTTTTAATAAGCATGGAGATCTACTACAATACTATACCACTCCTGTATAATATTCCTGTTAATATATTGCTAGAAGGATAGAATATACTTACTAGAAGATAGAAAAGCTAGGGGATAAAATTGCAATCATGTTTCATTATAGGCAGAGCCACATTATCTCAAATTTCATTCACTTGCGCGAGACAGCAGTCGATTTCGTGGACCTTAGTTGAAGGTCCAATCGAAATTGGATTAAGGTCATTCGATAGTCTCTGGATATCATTCGCGTTCGGTTCCATCCACTGTTCCTTTCTTTGAATCGTAACGGACAGCGAGATACCATGGTCGAAGGAGATTGTGGGTAGAGAGTGAGTTCCTGGCAAATGGAAAGCCGGCTTACCCTCCGAAATTACGGCCACTCTCATTATACCGAAGGCCGGAATTACGCCTGGCCTGGAAACCTAGTTGAATTTAGGGATAGATTTCGATATTGGTCAATGGACATGTGGCCTTTGCTTTGATAGAAAAGTGCGTTTGATTATTGGAATGGTTTTCTTACTTGAAAAAAGAATAATTTGGATGAATTGTTGACGAGGTTTTTGTGATAGATTTATGAGAAATTAGATTCGTTTCTTTATTGATGATCTTCATGTTTTAATCCTTCTATAGATTCTTCTTCATGAATATAATAATATGGAACATAATAAAACTAATTATTCCAATTTTTAGTTGAAATTACTATGATCCTGTTTTAAAACTTTTCTCACTTAAATATTTTATGTTATATTCTACTTTTTCACTTTTGAGTACGATGATTCGTTATTTCTTCTTCTTATAAGCATTTTAGCATTTCAATCAATCTACGAAAAAAAAACGAATTTACTGAAACGTGTGATAAACATTTGGAATTTAAAGATCTCAGGGATTACCTGTGAATACTATTTAAAAGCGAAAATCACGTCCTCTAACTCGGCCAATTCGATCAAAATCATCCATTAGATCTAAAGATTAAGATTATTGAAGCTAATCCATGAATCCACTTTCTAATTATCAGTTCCAAATCAGTTTCTTTTTTCCTTTATATCATCAGTATCCAAATGATAATTCTGATATTACTTAACTTTCTATTTCAATAATTTTCCAACGATGAAAATCTAAAATAACAAAATCTATTATATTCTCCATCTCATTTTCACTTCCAACCACAGATAGAATTACCAGATTCTCACGATTCTTTTCCAAGATTTGTGACGCACCCTTGAACGAAGTAAAAGTAGTATCTGGATGCGAGAAAGAATGGGCGAGAAGTATCCACCAGAGCCAAGCCATTCGTCCGGAGGCGGTGCGCCAAAGTCAAGGCCGGAAAGGATAATTTTACGAAGGGTACGTTTCTAATCGAGCGTTAATAGTTGACACACCAGAGAGCGTCGAACCTCTGCTCGTTGTTCACCCGGAAAAATAGTTTCCACTCTTTGCTCCGTTTCTTAGCCCCATCCCCTAGTCCCATCCCTTCTTCTAAGCGATTGCATCTGTTCTCGAAATTGAATCAGAGTGTGGTGTAAAAAGGAATACCGGGAGAAAAGGGGGAGGATTCGATCGATTTCAATTTGCCAACAACTCGAAACGAGTTACTTTGTGCGGAAAGAAGGTTCAAGTGGCTCTACTTTTTTAAAGAGGAAAATCTTCTTGAAATACGTAATACGAGTATTGGAACAGCTGATACATCGTATCAAATATGATGTTTGAACGTTTTGGGCGTGTTTAATGTTTTGTTGCCAAGATTTTCTATTCTTGAAGCATACAGCAAGTTGAATTCTCAATTTTCTTTTGCAAGTAACATATTTTGAATTTCGTTAGATTTTTCGTTATTTTACAATTGCATTTTTTGCATTTATCAATACATTTTTGGTATGATATCGAATGAATCTGTTATCTGTGAAATCATCATGTAAGTAATATCGTTTTGAGAAATTAATTTTAACGAGTATGAAATAACGATATCCTTATTCTTTTCTTTGAATTTGCGATTTTTTTTTCCACGAATGTTCAAGTGTTCTTTTTTGTCACGAAGGTTGGCCAAGACACGCCTTCACCTCGATATAAAACTTAGTTTCATTTTTATGAGTCGTAAAAAGTTCGCAACTCGCGCCAAGTATTCCGAAAGGAATATCCTTTCACTCGTGACACGATCTTAATTTTTAATTAAGCGACATGATCAAACTTCCGTCCTTCTCTATCTCCTTCTTTGGTTCGTACACAGTAAATTTTTATCTCGAGAGATATCGTCGATTTATTTCCAATTATTTGTCAAAAATTTTCCTAAAAATTGCTGTAACTCATCTTCGATTTTCTTGCTAAGAAATTATAGATATTGAAGACTGTAGCTTGAGCAACACTAGCTGCTTTATTCAATATTTTTATCTCGCTTTTTTAATATTCTTAATGCAATTTTTAATATTTGTAATCATCTACATCAAATTTTTAAGAAATACAAAAATAAATTTCCTCAATCTTTTTTTAACTTTTTAATCTTCTTCGAGATTGACTAATTTTCCAATTTTATCGCGAGACATCGCGAGAAACAACGTGAGATATACGTGAATGATGGCGTAATTTGATCTTCGCAAGTTGTGTCTCGAGCGTGTGTCCCACGATATAGAAATCTCTTATAATCTTCCCGACAATTCTCGCAGTGCGATGATATACGTGATGGATTAATCGTTACATACACTTTGATTGATGGCAAACATTTGTCCCGGATACCTCGTTGGAATCAAGGAAGGAGCTCTTGAATGAAGATGAATTATATCTGCCTAATAGAAACGATACATTCGTCGAACATTCGTTCGAAATTCTTGCGAAATTTTTACTTAGATCAACTTCGTAGAGAAATATATCTGATTACTTTTCTTCAGAGATTTTTGATAATCGAATATTCCGTTTCATTTTGATTCTAAGCGGTTCCTGTTCCAATAAATTTAGATGTTTTCTTTGTCGAAGCTTTTCTTAAAGAATTGAGAAACAGTCGATTGAAATTTCCAGCCGATTTCGTGAATTTTTCACGAGGGAAAGAATTTCCCGATATAAGAGAAATAAAGGAAGAAAATAAAAGATTTCTTTCTTTCGGCAATTTATACGTCTGTATGTTCCATTGTTTGCATCTTTCTTCTATTTCCTTTGATCATCATAATAGTTCGATATATTTGAACTTATTATTTTCAAATTGAAAAATGAATTTCTGAAACAAAATATACATTTATATTGATTCATTCTTCAAAATATCTTTTACTTTTAATTAAAAAAAAAAAAAAGACTCAAAATATCAAATATAAGCAGATATTACTTCGATTTTTCCCAATTTCGAAACTATAAATTTTGAGGTTAGGACACAAGCTCCTCCATCATTCTTCCATTACCACGAAAAAATCCACGAGCGTAAAATTCCACAGTTCCAGATTCCCCCGATTCCCAGCAAATCAAGCTTAAGTCTCGTTCCATTCGGCGTTTTCCCGATCCTCGAGAAAAATCCTCGCAGTCTTTATAAATAAAACATGGTAGAAGGACACAAGGAGAAAAGGTGGAAAAGTAACGGTCTCGACGGGATGATATTTTATTCGAGAAGCGTGACTGCAGCCATCAGGACCTCGGATACGTGTATATTATCCAGGCCCAAGTCATACGGATCTCGAGGCTTTGTTGGCTCCAAAGGGGATAAGGGGATGTCTACGTGTCCGCCTCCGTGGAGTCAAAGTCGCGTCGACGTCCAGAGCAGAAGAGGGGGCACAAAGGGCGTGGAAACACACGGTTGTGTGTTCGTTTTCACGCAGAGCCATGGGTTAAATTACGCGTGAAACGCGTCTGTTTGACTCGTGCCGCGCGATGCTTGCATTTAAGCGGCGAGAAAAGGGGTTAAAGGGAGAGGAAGATGAAGATTGAAGGGGAGGAAAGAAAAAAAAGAAAGGAGAGCAAAAGAGGAGCGAGAAAATGTCGAGACTTTTTCAGGGAAAATCTGAAAATATAAAAATATAAATATTTAAATGTTAGAAGAAAATTTCTAAAAGGATCTTGTTATAAAGTAGTATAAAAAAATTGCTTTGTTATAAAGGATATTATGTACTAGAGATTAAAGAAATTGATAAAGAAAAATACTAAAAACCTGTCACAAAAGAAGACTGCTATTTTGTAGAACATAGAACATCAAGTATGTATTCAGAATCTCTTGTATGTACCAAGAAAAGCATCGAAGAATCTTTTCTTTATTCAATTTTACTCTTCTTAAAATATGAAAAAATTATACTGGTTACCAGCCGATCCTCTTAAGGTCCTTTAAAAAATAGAATTCATGTCAGATTAAGTTATGCAAGGTGTCATAGAAGAGGGGAGGGTGATCATTGGCTACGAAGGAATTAATAATGGTGCGAGATTAATTGCGCGGTACGCGGATAATCGATGACCGATATCCAAGTGCATCTTACGCGTGTTGGCAATTTAATTAGTGGGACATGTTCACTCCTGTTTGATTATCATGATGACGAAAGAGACTCAGCTAAATTATCGTAACGCTCGTGTAGAACACGCGTTAACAACATTCTCTTTATCTCTTCTTTTTTTTTGAAATCGTCGTGTTCAATCACGTGTAAATACAATGTTCTCGTTATACGTGCAAAGTATTCCAATTAAACACATTTGATTTTGTATTTTTAAAAAAAAAACTTTTCTTATTACAAAAAATATTATTGATTGAGAAGATATAATTAAAAGGAATTAAAAGAATATTGAATATTTGATATTTTGCATGTAATGCATATCCATTAATAACTCATTATCATATGAAATAGTCAGGAGAATTTCGATTTTAGAATATTTTGAAACGCGTTTTAAACCTCGAATTATTATTATTTTTGTCGATAATTTTATTACTGAATAATTGCGTAAATAGGCTTGGAGATAATATATTCGGAAATTCAGAGAACAAAGATAAATCCCGGTTCATCAATCTCCGAAGGCGAAAGATTGACTGGCGTATTAGATTTTCTGACGGCATCGATGGCACGCACGGATCAATCGTCATTGAATTATTGGTCGAGACCTCGGCAGAATACGCGTGGAGAATCCACGAATCTCCAACAAGCTATTTTACGAGGCTCGAATTTGCCTGACGGCGATATCATTATAACGCACTTAACATCGATTAATCGCGTCCTCACGCGTATCCATCGCGCACGGCCATTTGTCGTCCTTCTTGCAAATGTCCGACACACCCTCGATGATCCATTAACGATATCCTATTCCTATCGAACAATGCATAGATGAATGAAAATTTTCATATGAAAATTACGTGAAAAGTGATTGAAAATTTGATCATAAAACTTACTGAGAAAATAGAGGAAACCGTGCCATTCAAGTCTTTTTTTGTTTCATCTCGATATCTCAATCGGTTGTTGAGATATAAGAAATTGAAATGTCCATAGCGATTGAGACGATGCAGAGAGATTATTGGGTCATCAGCGATCTAGTGATTTATTTCTTCCTAGAAATGCGTGCACCTTCCTGGAATCGCATCTGTCGTCAATCTAAAATTTGAAATAGGTTAGTAAAATGCAAGCGAGTTTAAATAAACAAGGATGGAGATAATAAATGATCAAAAATTAATCCTTTCTTTACGCAATCTTCGGAATTGGAAATCATATTGAGAATGAAAGTGCATTTCAAATGTCAAGATTGTGATGATCTTTCATTTGTTGATTGGAAATCACTACTTTCGAAGTTAAAACGCTTTAAAGTTTTCTCTAATTTTAATAGATATTTCAGTTGTAAAGAATTGTTTTTGAATTGTTTACAGATGAAAATTATTAATTTGTTGATTTATTTTATAGATGTTTCAATTAAAGAGAGATGATACTTCTTTATGCTTGATGATTTTACGAGCAATTTAATTTATGTAATATGAGAATAAGAGAAGAAATAGGAAATGTAATTGTAAGAATTTATGGAAATATTTGTTTTTTAGACAGGTGATAATATTTCGAGGATTATTATTATTATTATAACTTTAAATCTCTCGTAAATCACTATCGAAAACCGTTGTATAAAATCTATTACTTTTTTCCTGAATTAATATTAAATAATCAAATGACGTTATACCACAATTCCGTAAAAACTATAAATCCTCAACGCACTATCGTTTATTTTACCTTAACAAATAAAATCTAAATCAGATTATTCTTCGAAATATTTCACTTTAAAAAATAAAATAAATATTCACTTAAATTCATATATCTTGAGCGAAAAAATTTATGAATAAATTTTTCATCTTTGAAAAATAATAAAAGAAAATATATTTCTACAAATATATTTCAAACAAAATAAATTTTGAAAAATAATCGAATAGTCTGTTAAAATTATTGAACCATCGAACATTTCTTATCAATATTTTTATTAAAAATTTTCGTTGATACAAAATCGTCGAATCGATCTATCTTTCTTTCTAAAAACATATAAAAATTATTTTTCGATAGAAATAATTTTAATATCTCTAAAATTAGAAATACTTACATAGTTTCTCCCAAAGTCTATCCGCTTCGAACTTCCTATCCGCTTAAAGCCGTCGAGACGGATCGTCTCCTCTTCTCCTTTCCGTTTCTCACCCCTTTTCTCGTGACGCGCCTGTAATGGATGTCTAGCCGATTTAATCTAACTGCGGACTGATCGCAATGTCTCCCGCAGAGCTCGTTAATCTGATTTCATTCGCAATTTTAGATAAGCCTTTTATCGTTCGTTTACCGATTAATTCGACGACACAAGTCAGTTGATCGTAACTCGTTTCCCTGTTGCGAATAGATCCTTTTCAACGTTTATTTTTCACTCTTTTTTGTTACTCAAAACGAACGAATCATGTTCGATTTCATAAAAAAGTTTTATGGTTTGTAATCGTAACTTTTTAATTTTGTATAAATTATTTTTCTTTTTTTTATATACAAAAATTTTAAATTTTTATTTAAATTATTTAAATGAATTGTTTTATTTACGAACTAGCCATCTAAACCGTAATGTCGAAAATCATTTTGTCGCGAGATGGGAACATATATTCCAGATATATCATCCAGTCAATATTGGAAAATGTGATCTTGTTTAACATGAGCATTAATTACGTAGTACTATAGCTCACTGCTTGTAATTACCCAGAGGATAGAAATTAGTATACCAGCTTTTAATCTAACCTTGTAATGGAGACGTGGAAATGCATCGATCATGATTTGATCGATTTTGTATGATGTGATCATTTTATTATTATTATTATATTTAATTAGAAATATTGAAAGTTTAAAATAAATTGTTTTTCTTTCTCTCCAAATATAAAATTTTAATTTTCTAAATATTCACTGACACTTGATATTCTCAAAATTCAATGGCAACAGTTCGTTAAAATTCACTAGGAATCGATTCTATAGAAATTCATTAGCAACTGTTCCCCAAAAATTTACCAGCAGCATGTTACCATTTTTTTTAAAAAAATCCTGTCAATAATCAAGTAATCAATTAAAAGAAAATAATTGTAAAAGAAAGGAAAATAATCAAAATCAGATTCATATGAATATTATCAAATTACGCAAATTTCTCTCTGCCAATGTTCCCACACAATTCCACTAACTATCGATCGAGCAAGAATAGTATAATTTCGCGAATTCGAAAGTCCACTGAGAATAATCTCACATCGACCATTCTGTTTATAACTCACCATTCTATTTTATCGAGAATGCAAAGAGTTTAATGCGATAAGATTCCACGTGTTCCCAGTTTACAGCCTCGAACAAAACGGTTTCAATTTCAATTCGTATATTCACTGCGACGTTGTCGCGCGCGCTAACCATCGACTTCTTCTCCCTTTACCTATTGATCGTTCAGCTTTCCCTTTTAATCGTTCGAACGTTGAAAACTCATCGTTTAGCCCATCTGAATATAGATGCTTTTTAAACTTCTCGCTGAACTATATATTCTTTAACACTTTTACGCTGATATTTCGCATTTCTCTACTTCTATGGAGTATGCATTCTGATAACTGTATGTAGAATTAGATATATATCCATAATTCTCCTTTTTTTTTATTTTGTGCGAAATATTTATGCGTTTTATATTGAATAATTGGTCCAAAAATTCTTTCCAGACTACAGATATTTATGCATTTATAGAAAATTTAAATATAGAAAAATCTACAGAATGCATATGATATGCAAAAAGACATGAAATATCCAAAGCATAGTACGTGCTATATCTTTACTTCATAAAAATTTTAATTTGCAATCTATTAGTAAAGTATAAAGCATGAAGATTTGTAGAATAATGAAATTAACCTTTAAAAGGCACATTTTCATTGAAATTTTAAATTTTTCCCATGAAAAATTTATGTAACGTGTTCCACACAGTTTCCAAATTTATTATTTATTATATATGATCACTTATATATAGTCCATTCTGTTCCATATATAGTTCCATTCCTTATCTTAAAAGATTATATTATAAATCATTAAATTTTCCAAAAAATATAGATTTTTAGATATTTGACAATGATATTTATAAAATTATTCAATTATGTTATAATATTAAATTACAAATTCTTATGCAAATGCATATTTTCATCGTTTCAATTAAATATATGAAATTTAAACATTTTACTTCATCTTGTTACTATCATAATGTACTTTATATATTTTTGCATATATCTTTTACAAATTTCTGTACATTTAAATTCTCATAAATGCACAAAGACCTTACTTATAATATACATCTTTACATCTTTTTAAATTTTCCATCTAATAAAGAATATCTTTTATTCTCTGTTGCAGGTGAGTAGATCCAATATTCCTCGCTGAAAATTAGATCCATTAAGACTAAGTAAGTTCCAATCAATCTTGCTTCTTCGCTTAGAGCTCAGTACTTTTGCAATCTCCCGTTATCACGGTGGACTAACGGGACAAGTACAGTTAACCGATAATCTCGAAGGCAGGCAAGAACCTTGGCAAAGAAAACCGGTCTCTCGATCAAGACATTATCGATAGAGACATTCCCTCGATCCTTGGTTGTCCTCGGTCATGCATTCTCGTTAAGCCTCGATATATACTCGCAAGTATCGATACAGTCAAGTATCACAATTCCAAGGATTGACAAGATTTTATTCCACTCGATGAATTTTTCTTGTGTAGATATATCGTTTTATTATATATATATTTTACTAAACGTAGAGTACAGTATCTGTCAAAGATTTTGAATCACTATTATATTCTAGAATAGTTATTATTCAGGTACTTATCCACTTTATTTATCTTAAAACTATTTTCAGAAATTTGTTACACATAAAAATTTAATCTGTATGCAACGATTATCTGGATTATTGTATCTTTCTCTTCAGATTTGAATTATCATAATTCGATTATTCGCATTATACTCAAAAATTTGGCATGCATATGCTTCCTCAGATAATTAATACGTTTCACGATAATTAATCGGGTACTATCGTAATTCTAATCGTAAAATTCGCTCAATGCTTCTTTCTCCAAATCCACTCCTTATTAAGCCATCAAAAGCTATCCATTTCCATTTCTTCACTTTCACAAGAAAGGAGAAAAGAAAATTACGACAATTAACCGGCTACTACCACATTTCTAATCGTAAAGTGTTTCGATATCTCTTTCTCCAAATCATCCATCCCTCAACCCCTCATTAAAATGTCAAAAGCTATTTCCATTTTCTCCACTTTCACAAGAAAGGAAAAAAGAAAAGGAAGGTAAAAAAGAAAATTCCCTGGAGCAGAACCTGAACGGTCAAGATGAGGCTAAAGAAAATGTAGAAGTATGAGGGAGATGGGCAAAGAAACGAGGTGTTACCACGGCCGGCATTACACTTGCTAATGGCCAGAGAGTGGAATGCCTGGTCCGGGCCAAGTTGTCGAGTGGTGGTTCGCGTACAAGTAGGAGAGGCACTGGTGTACACACGATCATTAACCCCAATTACGTAGTGCGCGCGACGGGTCCAAGTATGGGCTTCGTTCATAATGAGCTATTTGTGTACTCGTGCACATAGGCGCGCCGATCACCACGCGTGCGCCTTTCGTCCTTCCACTCAGCGTGATAATGATGCGTTCTGCTGTTCTTGGACGAGACGATTCTTTGGCTTTGGCAAGAGAGATGGAAAGGATGAAATCGTGAGACGTAGTTCCTGGAAGAATTGAATATCTTAGAATAAAGTCTGTAATGTGAGTTCCAGAAATTGTAGAAATAGAGATGTTGGAGTAAAGAAAGTTGTGAAAGCTTGGATGAAATAAAAGAATGATTTTTAGAAAAGGAAAATTTTAGAATTGAAATATTTGTGTGATTCTTGGAAAAAGAAGCATATAATTCTAGAATAGAGAATATAATCTTTTAACAATTGTAGGTTCTAAAAATTCTAGAAAAAAGATATTGAAGTTGAAATGTTAAGAAGAATTATGAAAATTTAAGGATGAAAAAGTGATAATTTTTAGAAAATTTGAGAACAAGAAATATTTTTGGATCTCTCTTGTAAATATATCTAAAATAAATTAAATACATTGATTTAGTATAGTGAATAAATTTTAAAAAGTAGATAAATTAAATTTGTTTTAAGGAATTTATTTTAATAAGATACTTGTCAAACTAATTTTGTGAAGTAAAACAAGAGTATCCAAAATGAAATTGGAAGAGATACTGCCAAGTATAAATGTCTTTCCAAATAACAAGAGTTAAACGTTGACTTATTCGACGACCGTGGAAAGACTATTCAGTATTTCCAACGAGCATCGTGTCTCTATTCCGTGTTGTTCTTCTCTGTGACCCGCCTTCTAAATATTCGTTCGGTAAGGTAAATTCATTGTAGGCTACCAGCTCGAAAATCCATGAATTCGCTTTAAATTCTACTACGAAGGATACTGTAGAATCTGAATCACAATCTTGGTTTATGCAATAATGCAACGTTATTCTGTCAAATTATTACTTTTGAAAAAGATTAATTTCAGGTAGATTTTGAATTAATCATGAAATTATCCTTGCACTTTTCAAGATTTTACGAGAGTAAGGTATTAAAGTAGAATCTGGACCACAATTTTTTTTTATATAATGCATTGCTGTTCTGTTAAATTATTTCTTTTGTTAAAAATTAGTTTTGATCTAAATGCTTGGTTAAATTATCATGCACATCTATTCCATCTATCTGACATAATTCTTATAATTTTTCTAATTATGTTCAAATATAACTTTCAATTAAAAAAAAAATACACATTCAATGTTCTAATGTAAATTTTCATTACCAATCTCACCATCAATCATTGATAAAAAGACTAATTTCCATAAAATTCATTTTCATCATCTCTTTTTTAACTCCATTTTTGAGTTAGCTTTTATTTGCTTTTATTGTCGAGAAAGCCTCAATTAGCAATCGCTAATTACCAGCCGATTAATGACGAGTAATAAGGGCCGGGTATTCATATCCACTGATTCGATCGATGGATTTATCGTGGGATAAGTAGGGACTGTCTCGATTTCCAGAAATGATTCCGCTTTCTTTCTTTTTTTCTTTTTCATCGTTTTTCGATTTTGCTTTATTGTCAATACGATACGCTCGTAATTGATCATTAACGAGTGGATAATTAATGACAAAGAAAGGTATCCGCTTACGACTATCCTCGTTAGATAACAATTGTTAATTCACGTTCGTGACGAGGGTGATTGTCTTTAATAATCGAAAAGTCTTATTACACGTATTGTTTCTCGATAATTTAAGAGAAATGATGAAAGGTAAATTTGAACGATAAAAACAATTACGAAACGAGTATTCTTAGTACTCGTTAAACAATCTTCGAGTGGTGCCATTTCGTGATTAAGTTTTAAAATATATCGTCAAAAGCATTTTCGATATTGAGAATTTAATTGATTGGATCTCAAAAGCAATTTATCATGATACTGTGAAACTAAAAAAATTTATGTTAATAAAAATAATTAACCTATTGAGTAGAATATTACTAGAAATTGTTAGAAAAATTCTACTTACCCATATTGTGTTCGACTAATTAATTAATATTTTTATGGATTTGTAAACCATTTTGTGATCCCATCCTGATAGATTTCAAATTCCATGCTGCTGAAAAAATGAACCGAATTATTACTAGAAAAATTCCATTTATATAATTCGACTATGAATTTACCGAATTTCTACGTCTTTAGTTCTGTAAAATTAAACAAATTTAAATTAATGAATCAAATTAACTTATTAATTACTGACAAAGTTACCAGAAATTTTCAACTTGTACACATCAGGTTCGATCGTGGAAAAATTATCACGAAGAACGAGCACAACGAAATTAACTCGGGAGAGTAGCGAGATAGATACCTTTTCAGTAACCAAGTTTCATTTCCCAGACGTTTCTATCTTCCACCTTGAAAGCGGTATCCCCGTTCGCCATAGTTGCCCTCTTATCGTGCCTCTCTCTGGCGAACCACCGATCCTCCGTAATGGAATATCGATTCCCCGTGTTTGGACGCTCGATTTCCCTACGACGACACGATAAATTGCTCGCTAATGATTCCCATAGTCTCAACAAATAATATTTCTAGAATTGGTTAAATCGTCCTTTCGCTCGATATCCTTCGGAAAATTGAAGATCCTCGGAATGGTCTCACGATTTTTCATTTTTTTTAAAACGTTTTTATGGTTTACGGAATCACTTTTATCTTCTTTCCATCTTCGAATCTTTTGCACATCGATCACACTATTATTTATACCGTTACTTAAAAATCTTTGAAGAGATTAACGATATATATCATTGTTTTTTATTTTTATATCTCTTCTTTATTTCTTTTTTTCACATCGAATATTTTATCAATATCATTTATTTGTTCTTGAAAAATTAAAAAAAATATATGAAAGAATTGTAGGTTGGATGGATGTTTATAGAAAATAAAACGCGGCAATCAGTGTCGTCAATATCGACGTTGCTCTCCATCCAATTCAAAATTTCCCTATAATCGATGCAACATGTATACCAACTATCGTAATTCATCGCTGAAAATGGGCACGATGGTTAATAAATACGTAACGAAGAAATAATTTAATGAATTCGGAATCGATCGTTCGTTATAAGCCTCCCTTTCATTGAAACTACGCTCAATCGCAACAAATTCAATCCTTCTATATTCCTGTATCCATATTTTGAATATTTTAATTGAAACATTTCATATCATTGTATAGAAAAATAAATCTCTTTTAATTCATCCAATTGTACTTCTGGTACATATTTTTATTATTAAAATTATGAATCTAATCAAAAAAATGATCATACTTAAAATGGTCCACATGTATCTTCAAATAATTCACATTCACAAAAACCTTTACATTTACAAAAACACAAAATCTTAATGAAATGAAACAAATTTTCATTGTACAACGAACGAAGCACGATCATCAAAGAAAAAAAAAAGGAAGAAAAGAAAAGAAAAATAATCATTCCTTCCAAGTTGTTCTTAATTAACTTTCAACCTTCTTGCCCTGGCTTCCCTTCATTAACTCGTTAAAAAAAAAACCTTTTCCCCTTCTTTACAAATTTTCAACCCCATTTCAACTCGACCTCCTTTATTCGCTCTATTTACGCGCCACGTTTTCTCCGCCTGTGTGTAAGAAGTCTCTCTCTTTCTTTCTCTCTTTCGTTTCTTCTCTTCCATCCTATCTCTCCGCTCTTTATTTCCTTATTTTTTTCTTCTTTCTTTCTATCCTTTCTATCACGCAGAATGAATTTCAGAGGTGTTGCAGACTCGAGAGTGAGAATGCGAGGTAAAATTCGATCTGGGTTGGAGTAAGTAAATCGAGAAGGAATCGGTGTTTAGAGAGTCGTGGAACCTATTGAAATCATGGTCTGTTCGAAACTGGTTTCCTGTATCGAGTTTTTTTACTCTCTCTCCCACTCTTTCGTGTTTCACGCGAACGAAACTCGAAAGTTAAACGGCCCGATAAATTATCGCGTCAGCTGCTCGAGAACTCGGTTCGGAGGCGAAAAGCTGCACGATTAAGTCTTACTTTCCATTCATGGGTTTTTCGATATTATAATAAGAGAACTTTCGGTTCGATTCCACACTTATATTGAATTTGAAGAATGTAGTATTTGACGTATCACGTAGTTGTTTGATCATTTGATTATCGTAATTAACGTTGAAAGAGATCTGAAAATGTATAATATTAATATTATTAATTGAAACGTTCGAAAACAAAAATGATTCTTGATCAATCTCGTCAATAATTTCGTTATTGATTAGGTAGAATTTTTTCAAAATATAATTACGATATTTTGTTCGAGCAAATTTAAATTTATCAAGGAAAGGCAATTATTCTTTTTGTTTTCTGGGAACAGAAAAAAATTGCCAAGAATCATTTTATATAAAACTAATTATACATCTGGGTCTCTTTAAAGAAAACACCATATATAAAACAAGTAGTAATTTAAAACATTTGCATAAAAACATTTATATGAACGTATAAAGAGTAAAATTAATGTTTAAAAAAAAAACGTATTAAAAAATCACGAAGCCACAAAACACACATATGAAAAAATATATATCGTATGAAAAAAATATCTTATCAAAATTCATAGACCCAGATGTGTAATTTATTGCACAAAATATTATACAACAAATATAAGAACATCAAAAATACTGTTACCAACTACACAAACGGAAACAACTGAATAAATCACCGACCAATCACGGAACAGGGATCGCGTTCAACTCGAAATTCTCGCAGAATAGCGGCACGCAGTTATTCCAACCCTCGAAAATTCAATTCTGCGGGACTTAATCGTAAATTCCTGAAACTGGGAACAAACGAGACGACCTACATACCCTCGAGGAGCGTAATCTAATGTTAAGCAAATATAAAAGCTTGGCGGGCTCGTGCGCGCTTCCCTGGCTGGGCTGATTTCGAACTTGCTTTGGGAAAATTGAGGGAAATTGGGCAATCGCGCTCTCCACGGGCGGAATACTGAGAAAGAGATTGCGAAAAGGGGATATGGATGCTGAACGAGCGATTTTAGAATGTATTTGGCGGGGAATTATGAGGGCTGAGTGGGAAGGAACAGATTGTGGGTGGCAAAGATGTCTGGCTCTCCGTTTGATAAAAGTGAAAAGTGATCGGGGTTCTAAAAAAGCTTCTATCTGTGCTATAAATATAATTTGAAGAAAATTTTGCGTTTGAGACTTTTAAAAGTGAGTTTTAGAATATTTCTATCGTTAAATTGAAGAGTATTCTCAACGATTCTGGAATTTTTGATTCGAATATAGAGAAAATTCTAGAAATATTTTAAATTTAAATGAATGATCAAATAGTATTCCATCACGATTATGTGTAATTTTTCTTCGAAGCAATTTACCAGTCAGCAATTACAAGGGAAGAAGGGGGATCGTACTTGCTGGCAGGGGTTAGCTCTCACCACAAGAGGTGCAATTCGCGACAAACAATGTACTCTCTCAACCGCGTCGTTTAATAAAAATCGCTTGAACGGCACGAATCCAGGCCTCGCCCGATACAAAGAGACTCGACGAGGAGTCTTGGAGAACCGGTTACGCCAATGTAACCGAGAAACTGTGTGATCAGCAGCTACGACAATCCCTTTCGTCGCGTTTTTCCAGGGACAAGCCAGCACGAGTATCTTGAACAGAAAAAAAAAAAAGAAGAAAATGTTAGAAATATAAAAATATTAGCTATAGAATACTGATGCTAATGTAAATTGAAATTTTTATGAACACGACTAGACAAATGGAGAAGTTTAACTCTTTAATTTCTTTAAAATTAATTTGTTATTTTCCTTTCGAAAGATTCTTAAATTCTATATTTATAATTCTTCTATCTTTATAATTTTTCTTTCTTCTGATTTTTTTCTCTGCGACACCTAAAAAAAAAAAAAAATGTCGTTTTGGTATCGATTTACAACAAGTAGCCACAATCACTAAGTCGTTAGTAAAAACGTTACACGCAAGGACAGTTCACCTGGGATCAGATGGAAAGTTGTACGTGTTGCATCACCACATTTCCTTTTAAACGAGCAGAACCATTTACGAAGCCTATTTCAATATTTGCTCGAAGCGGCCAATTTCTGGGAATCCTCTCTCCCAAGATTCCTCAAATAAAATATTTAACCAATTACTGGCTCAACATTTGGTCTCCTATCCGTTCGATAAATTCTACCTTTCTCTTAATATCGTGTCACGATATATTCGAAAGTATTTCTCAATTTTCAACGGAATATCCAATTTCTCATACAGCAATATGATCATTGTCTTAATGCGATCCAACAGAGACGTGTAATTGAAAAAGTTTGCCCATCGTGATTGAATTATCTCAATAAAAACATTAAATCCAAACAATTGCAATTGCATCTATAATTCTATTACTCTTTCTATAATTAATCTTAACTTAACCTCTAATTAAATTAACTCAAACAAACCGTCTAAAACTGGAAGAAAATAAAAAATATTGCAAACTACCAAGTACCATTGTTGTAACTATCAAATTTTCCATCACAAAATATCATGAACCATCATTCAAAAAACCCAAGGCCGTCAATATCACGTCGTTCGATCGATCATTCTCATTCTACGTGTAAACTTAGCCAAACAATTTCTCCTTGATTTTCTTTGGTACACTTAACTTTCCCATGGTCGATCGCAGCTCTCTTCGTTCAACAGCAGCTATGTCACAGGCAGAAGATTCGCCTTTGGATCGATCCAAGAGTAACTTGGTTCGAGGATTTTGGAGATGGTCCAAACTTCCGGAGCGAGTCTGTAGAATTTTAATTATGCCGGGACGCCGGTGGCCAGGATCGGCGACAAAAGATACCCGCGTGTTCCGTACACACGGGTTTGCCTTTTTTTCTACTCGCTGCCTCTTTTCCAACCCCCTTCGGCTATTCTACCGCCAAATGGGTCAGCTCTTTCTCACCCCATTCTGTTTTCTTCCGTGTTGTCGCGGATTCGAGAATTAGTCGGATTTCTCACCAGTCCTCGGGGAATCAGAAGAATCTTTCGATCACAGGAATAGCAGATTTCCTCTTTAAAACTATTGTAAGTCGTTTTCTTCTCTTCTTTTTTTTTTTTTATTATATAAGAAAACGCATTCAAAAATTAATTTTGAAATTTTCCTTGAAATTTTTAAATGTTTAATAATTTAATTTTTCATTCTGACCGATGAATCGTGGTATATCTGTTTTTTCGTGGTATCTGTTTCTTATAGGAGAAAAATTGTAAAAATCTTCATGTAAAATTTGCTTGATGAAATGATTCGTTTTTTCAATGCAATAATAGCACACCTGTAAAAAAAATAATTTTTCAGAAATGGAAGAAAATCAAATGCAATAGTCGATATCTATAATGATATTAGTACCAATTAAGAAATAGTCCGAAAAACTATTGTACTGGAAAGATTAGATTATTTTTAATATAGTAACTCTATTCTCTACTATATTTTATTTTTTTCAGAAATTAGCAAGATTCGATTATTTATGAGATTATTTTTAAGAATTTGTTTGTATAAAAAGCTAGAATATAAAATTTATGCACTCTCGTATGTACATCAAGTATTAGTTCTTATTTTTCACGTCAACGTAATTACTCGACATCCGTCAGCTTTTTCGAGGAAACGTCTGAAACACTGAGGAAAAACTTGTTTGAAACGTGTCGAGAAAACTATACAACCGAAAACTGTGTACTAATTGTTTCTCATTGAAAATTAACGTTAATTAAATCTATTATTTGGAATTTTATAAAAATTTGTTAAAACATGATAATGATTCGTTAATTTTGAAGAGAATAGAAAAATTTTAAAATTATAATCCTCTATCATACGATATCATATCATGAAATAATCATATTTTCACTCGTATTTTCTAAATTTTATTTCATATGTTTATTTTTATTAATTCAATTAATTTTTTATCAACATTCCCTCTAAGAAAAAATAAAATTATAAAATTCTTATCAAAATGCTAAAACACACAAATTAAAAAAATTGTCAAAAGGTTTGACGAAAAAAAAAGAAAAAAAAATTTATATCAAATATATTCTCTTACCAAAAATTAACATCGAATACTCTCAGTTATCTAATTACCAAACGATCTTCTAAAAATTTCAAAATTTTCATCTTTTTTCCCTCAAAGCCAAAGTTCTCGTATTCGAAAATGAGAGACACGGTTCATCGAGCAGTCCACTCAAAGTTACTGCCGTGATAATCTTTATATAGTTAATTGGACGTTGATGAGAATGATAGAAGAGATAGGTGCTCGGTATAAAGTGCTGAATTCGCGAGGTAAGACCCACACGGTGCAAGAGAGATCCGTCACTAGCCATTTTCCGCCGTTAAAACTTCTATACGGGTCGTGTCTATCCTCGAAAGGAATCGAAGCCGCGGGATAACAGCCTTTTAGGAGAAATTGCCTTCCTCTGTCTGTCTTTCTTCTCGTAGACTTTTATCTCAGCCCGTGAAAATAGGTTCCTTCAAAATGGCAGCTCTTCTTTTGTTTTCTTTTCTCTGAATCTTTTATAACCTTTGTTTGCGCTTATCGATACAATTCTCGAATATTTCCTTTGGAAATGAGGCTAATGAAAGCATTCTTGATACAATACATTGTTACCTTTCAAATTTATTTAGAATTTATTGTAATTTTAAAATGAATATGAATTCTTCGTACTAAAATTATTTATTACGCAGTTTATTATTAAATGTAATAATAATACCGGGATGCTTAATAATCTGTAAACATGGTTGAATTACCTGTTATAGGAAGATTAGAAAATATCAACAAATGACTGTTTTGTTGAAAATCGCTTTGTTTACTTGAACTCGATAGCTTCACGGTACGATAGACACTACTTTGAATTTGGAACCGATGACTCGACGAAAGCTGCCGGAAAAAGCCGAGCGCTATCGACGGAGATCGGTCAAGCGCAAGCGTAATAGAATCGTAGATAAAGCAGCGTACTGCCTTGTTCTTACCGCAACATCCTTTAAAATAATTTTAAAAACAGATTTATAAAAAATGAATGAATTACTTGAGAGTTTGAGAATTATTATTCTTTTATTCTTTTATTAATGTCATTGAAATATCTTTCTTTCAAAATAATTTTTAAAAGAAAATAAAAGAATAATTGTGTATGAAATATTCTTTCTTTCATCTAATCTTTAATTCAATTTTAATAAATAAAGAATTTTTTTTTAATTTATATATTATTATATTATTGTATTCGTTATTGAAAGAAATATCCATCTGGAAAGAATTGGTTTTCGATTAAAGTTTATAGGAAAATTTTTTTAAATTAAAATTTTAATTAAAATAAATTTACAAAGGAGAAAATTTAGAATCATACTAAATAAATCATAAAATCCCCAACAGCAAATGTGTCGGGAAAACATAGTCCAACTTCTTGCTATATATATATAGAGTAGCAAGTTTAAAGAGCAAATTGACTCGACGAATTTCTGATGTGGAATTATACGTCCTTGTTGTAACACACTGTCAGACTCAAATTAAGTCTCGGGAAACTGTAGCACGCGGAAGCGTGCGCCTGAATGTTTGATGAGTATAAGCCATCAGACACTGAATTCAAACTGAGATTCAAATTCAAATTTAAACTTGGACTTCATCAAACATCAAATTCAAACTTATTATAGATTTAAATTTTAATTCAAATAGAAATTCAATTATTTTTATTCATGTTCTAATTTTCAGACAGTAAAAAATTAATAATAAAAAAATTCATTAATTGTCAATCATTCGTAAATCATGATTTGGATCGACTTCTTTCCATTTTTTCCAAAATTCTGTTGATGAAAATCAAAGCTGATTCGAAAATAATTCTGTATAATGGTTATTCTGACAAAGGTTACGTTTTCTTTCAAAGAACGCGTATATATCCAGTAGATAATAGAATGGTGGAACGTAAAAGAAACGGTTGACATATCGTGAGGGCGATTCTCTCCGGTAGTTCGTGCTCGGAAAGCCCGAGAAGATCATTGAATTTTAAAGTAGAACTACTTCAACGGTGACGGCAATAGGATTCAATTTCAAGAGGGACGAAAACCGAGGAGAAAAATATCGATCAGTAATTTTTAAATTATGATACCGATAATGGATATATGTAAAATGTGTACAATTTGCATAATATATAAAAATTCTTCGTCTATATAAAATTTCTTTTCGATGTCAGTGATATCAATTCTGAATAATTATAACCAAATAAAGCGCTAGAATCAAAAATGAAGATATTGATTTCACTCGTTTTTTATATATCGATTCTCTGATAGTCAATGACTTTAAGTTAGAAGATAAATATTGGAACATATCGCGAGCGATCTACATAAGAGTTTTTCAATCTAGAAATTTAAAAATTTCTAGAAATTGTAAACAAGGAAAGTGAATGAAATTTATTTCCTATTGCCTCACTACAATTACCATAAAATTCTTTGACAATTCTCTCTAATTTTTCTCTGTCCAAAATATATTTGGAAATTTAAAATCGTCATTTTTGCATCGCTTGGTAACGCAACGCAGCGTTGAAAAATAAAATAATGTGGACGGTACGATATAAAGAAAGAAAGAAAGAAGATACCACCGATGCTGCAACAAGCAGTAAGGTAGGTGGTCGCATAATATTTTTCTTATTCCTCGATTTGTTCACCTGCGCCCGGGAGCTTGTGTAAATGAAACTCGACTCGGCTCCGTTCACCAACCGTCCACCGATGTCAAGAAAAGGTTGGTACTGATATATTAGTTCCAACCAAAGATCCCTGTGGACACGTTGCCCTTTTGCTTTCCCTCCACGCTTCCATCTTAGGTTTCCATGAAGAATATCGAATAACATTGTCCAGACAAATAGATCCACGATCGGTCGATGGATTATCGTGTATCGGGCAACAAACTCGATGTTGGTACGTGGCTTTTGTCTTTCATTTATTTAAACTGTAAAGTAAATTATCTTTATTTTTTTTTCTGGTATTGATAACTAGATGTGAATGATACTTAATGATCAGTATACTTACTGATGATTCACTGGTGAAATCGATACGTACGTTAGTATGATCACATTTTTTTAATATTGAAAATTGTTATTAGTAAAAATAACATGTTTGAATTTAAAATTAATTTTTTGGAAGATCTGTAATTTTAAATTTATTAAAAATAAATAGTTAAATTTATTAAAAAATAGGAAACTGAATTATATTAATTATATAATATTTTTTTGGTTAATATTATAAAAGATTTATAAGATTATTCTTGTCGTGAAATTTTAAAAACAAGGTAAAATTTATTCTTTTATAAAAGTCTTAAGAAAAAAATATATAAATATCCAAAAATAATTAATGTGTAATTTTCTTCGTATTAAAAATTCATAATTTCATTCAATGTATAATTTATAAATTTAGAAGAAAAAAATTGATATCGAACAAAGCATGAAGAAAATCAGTATTAACAAATGATCAAACGATTTCACCAAGAAAAAGGAGAAGCGTTCTACGAATCGAAATCGCTGGCCCGTGCGATTACGAAAATCGAACGAACCGGTTGCTTCCCTTATAAGTAGCGCAACAGCTAATTAACACAAAATTCTCTTCGTCGGTTAACCTCATCCATGATTTTCGTCTGGCTTCTCGCGAAAAAGAAAATATCGTTTTCGTGAATTTTTTTTTCTCAGACGCTTCATTCGCGTAATCACGTGGAAACCAATTAACCCAATTAAGCCTCTCATGTCAAAAAATTCATTCAAATAAAAATTTTGTGTAACTTTGATTAATCTTTAACTTTAAAAAATCGCTTATGATATTCGACGAAATCTAGAAAAAATTGTGACATTATTTTTCTCTTTTTTTTTTTAATTTTTAAAAAATATATAATTTTAATCTTGATAGAATTGAAAAAATATTTGTCAAATTTTTTCACGTTCAAGAAATAAGAAATGTACGAACATGATGGACATTTGTGAACATTTGAAAAAGATTCTATTGGCTCAAGTCCGTGGGTATGCCAGCACCCAAAGAACTCACGAGTATGGGATTAAATGAAAAAATTGTATCCCTAACTAGTGAATTCCCTTTGCGGAAAGGATAATAAAAATTAAATAATTAGAGAACCAAAATTTAAAGCACTTACTTAATATATAAATCAATTATTAATCTCAATTTGACTCTGCCAAAGCTTTGTTATTTTATCCAACGTAGAAAAAGATGATGAGTGAAAGAAAAAAGAAATTATTTAAAAATTAAAATATCGTTCGTTTCATAATAGAATTTTCTTCAGCCATGGATGTAGATCCAAATTTTGCAGGTGTTCAAATTTTAAATACCTACACAATAAAGTAAATGTTAATAATGAAAAATGAAAAAATTAAGATATCAAGTTAAAAAATTCAAAATTTTAGACACTTATATTCATACCATTCATTCAATATTAACACCAAAACAATTAAGTCATCATTTCAAACGGGATCAAACAACCTTTCTTCTCGATCAATTTCACGGTCCATTCATCACAAGATTATAGACACTCTTGATGCTTGAGGACAGTAGTAGAAGGTATCGTTTCTGAACTAGGTCGAAAACGCAAAACTATCGAGCCTAACAATTCGATTATTGCAAAGTCCATGGCGTGTAACGCTTAGCCAGGTCATCCGCCTCTTGGTGGCGAAATAGAGTGGATCCCGGTCGCTGTTGTCCAACACCTACACTTCGCCCGTTCGAAGCTTCCGCAAAGGTGAAACTCAGCCGAAGAAGGCCGAAGGAGAGGAGGGGACGTGGCAACCACCAACCTCTCTCGGTTGTCTGTGTGCCAGCGGCGATTGGCTTTCGCATTCTCTACGCGCTGGAACGACTTTTAGTCGTGTCTAGACGACAGTCATGACTGGCTGTGTTCCTTGAACATTCGTTTTTCCACATTTTTCCACGCGTTCCTCGACCTTTCCAAGTTTTGGTTCGATTAAACGCGCAAACAATCGAGAAATTGTGCTTGAAATTGTCTCGTAGCTTCTATTCTTTTTAGATTATTGCATATGTAAATGACCGATTCTTGTGAATAAAATTAATCAGAATTTAGTGAGTATCATTAATGCTAGAATAATCATAAAAAATAATGGGTTATATATATTTTTTATTTTATGATTTATAACATCATTTTTCATGCCAAACTTTATACGTAAATAATTGCAATTATTTATATATAAAATAAATATTTATATAATATAGATAATTCTAATGTTAAATGATATTTGTTGTATGTTTTGAAGAAAATATTATATTCTTTTTTTATAAGAAGACACATTTTGTATTATTTATTATTATTTATATTATTATTTAAAATAACGCAAAAAAGCTTTTGAGAAGGATTTGATTTTTATTAATTCGACATGAAAAATTTAAATTTGGAAATATCAATGTGAAAAATAAATTATCAAAGAATTACCATCAACAATTAATGAAATATTTCATTTGTTAATGTATAATAATTTTAATCTTCTTTTCTAATGGAGAATATATTTAATCAAATCTGTTAAAAATTCGGTCCTTTCAACGCAATAATCAAATAGTAATAATAATTCTCTTTGTATATGAGACCATGTATCTTGTTAAATCTGGAAGACCTGTTTAGATGATGAAGATAATAATTTCGAGACTATTCAAAGTTGGAAATTAAATTCGATTGGTTTATACGAGGATTATTTGGATATTGTGTACCTGGATGGAATAGTCGTGATTTAAGTGTAGTTGAAGATATGATGGTGATAAGCGCATTGAAACATGTTGCGAATGCTGCAAGCAACGCTGTTCACTCGGCGACGAATAGCACTGGGGCTGGACACGGTCACACTAATTCTGGTACGTTTTAATTATATATTTCTCGTGCTTTATCTCCTCTATATCTCTTCTATGATGTAATATCTTGTTTAAAGAATTTTTTAATAGGCAATTTCTTTGTTAATTCAGATTTAATTTCCTGGTGTTAAGGTTATTCTTTGATAAAAAAAATTTAAAATAGATTAATCTGAAAAAAAAATGAATTAATTTAAAAATTATATAGATATTAAATTTTTAATTCTAAATTTGAAAAAATTTTTCTATTAATTTGAAATTAATTTTTTGAATATTAAAATTGTTAAATAAAGAAAATTATTCGAAATAAATTAGTCTTAAGCTATGTTTTTTTCAGTCTAAAAAGATACAAATTATATTAATAAATTTCGATTTAAAATTGTTTGATCAACGATGGATATTTAATTTCAATGGTAAAGATAATTTTATTTCATTTTATATCAATTATCTTATTAATTTCATATCTTTTATAAAATTGTCATCGAAACTATGGTATAATTAAATATATTTAAAATGTATCAGATTTTGCGGTATCGATTGGACCTGAAAGCGATAGCGAGTCTCGATAAACGCTTATCTAAAGCATTCGTAAAAGATCGAACGTGTATCGCAGAAAGTTTTCGCTTTCGATCTAATTTATAATTTATCCTCTCAACTATTATTTATATTTAATTAATTTTGAAAATCAAGAAATCGATTCATATCCAATAAATCATTTTATTATAAAATTTAATAACGCTAAATATTTCCTAATAATTTTAAACTTCACTACTAAAATCGATTAATATCATAACTCTCAAGAAATTCGTTACGCAAAACCGGCGAAAAATTCGAATTTATGTAATTCGTAGAAATCGACGAGGAGGATTGATCCAGATGCTCGATCGTCCTTGTGATTTCTTCCTTGAGTGTTTTTTTTTTCCATCATTCCTCACTTCACTTCGAGCGAAAGCATCCGCGAGTCTCGATTGTATTCATATCGGAATATTGGTTGCGCAAAATGCGAAAGGTTATACAGTTATAAGAGAGTAGAGCAAAGAATTTTTCGACATGCAGAAAAACGAACAGGTGATGTGAATCGATAAAAATACTCGAGTACAGCTGTGTTGAATTCAACTTTAATCATTTAATAATTGCATATTGAATTTTATCAACGATTGTTGTTGAAAAGTAAGAAAAGAGAGAGGATCATATGAAAAGGTCAAATCATTTAGATTGTGCAAGGAATAGAAAACGTGGCTTCTTCCACTATATCATTTTCAATTGTTTCATGCAATTTTGAAAAGTTTTAAAAATGTGATTTAAATGTATGAATAATAATATTCGTCATGTTATTGATTATTGGTAAATTTGTTTGAAATATATTTTAATGCAAATACAATGAAATCCAGAACGTATACAACGAAAAAATTGATAATATCAAATAAATATCTCCATATTAATGCGTCAAATGAATTTAAAATTTCACTTTTCTTTTTTGGAAGCTCGATATTTATCTCTTTTTTTTTATGCATGCTTGGAGAAACTACTTCGTTATTCAACATTTATTCACTGTTAAAGATATCTACGAATTTAAGTTTCAATATCGTTGACATTTTAATAATGCAGTAGATTCATCGCATCGATAATTTTATCTATATTATTTTCATCATTTAAAGTTTCCAAATTTCACTGAATTTATAATCTATATGATTCGCATAATACAGAATATTGTATCAGAATCCATTCTACAAAATACACATATACCAGATAAAAATATTTTTTTTCTTATAAATTTGGTAATATTAATTTGAATATTCAATGAAAATACATAAATTCATAGAAATGAATTTCGCTTTTTCTCATAATATATTATTTAAAAAATTTTTTCCTTTAGAATTCTAACCTAAATCTAAATTCAATTATTTAATTGTTTATTCTTTTTTAAAAATAGATTATTTATAGATTAGTATATTGAAAGACACGATATCGTTATTTTGTATCAAAATCAACATATAAATATAAATATAAATCAAATATTTAAAGACAATCACGATGTTCGATATTGAATTATGCTAATCAACAATAAAAGATATGTAGTCTTTCGATCTTTCTTTTAAGAATTTATTATTATAATTATTATATAATCTTAATTGAATCATAGTATAAGATTAATTAGATTTAAAGTTTGTTATCGTTTACCTTGCACGAGTTACTGTTTAACTTGTCCTCTTGCAAATGAACATATCAGGTACAGAGAATGGATGGAACGAAGAGTGTAGGACACAAAATGGCGCTCTTGACATTAGGCGTGGCAAGAAAGTTGCCATTCCGTTCTCGTAAGAGAGTTACAGCATCATGATAGTAAATGTCTTCGCTTGTTGTTCCTTCGAGTCATGGAAATTACTATATGGATCGCGTAGAAAGTTTATTCGTGATGATATTTGTATACTTCATGTACTTGTAGGTTAAGTTAGAGATTATTAGATTCACTTTAAAATATATTCAGTAAATGATATCACGTTATCGTATTTTTAATTTTATTATATTTATTTTATCTCGTGAGATATATTATTTATAGATTTATAATATTTTGAAAAACACGTAACAAAACTGGTTGACACTTGAATGGACCGAATGCGACTATAGCCAATCGAATGCTAATTAAGGCACACTTACATGTGCTTAAATTTGATTGGTTCAACGATGCTAGTTATATTAGGTTAAATTTATTCCAAAATTTTATATTGAATGAATAATTTTAATGACGAAATATAGAAAATAATATTTATATTCTACTTGATTTCACATCAAGATTGATTGTTTCTATTTCTATAAAAATTAAATATTAATTTGGTGAAAAATAATGGCCGAATCGATACGAAAGGATATTTTTATAGCTTGCAAATAATTTATTTTTTTTTCAAGAAAAAAAAAGAGAGAAAAAATTTCGTATCACGTTGAAATTTCAGTCGAAATTGAACAGGTGCCCGGAAACGTTCCCGTGTTCGAGTTGATTGGAATAGCGAAGGTTACTTGGGATTTCGACGAGTCTCGTTCAACACTGGCACGTGTAATATTCAAAGTAGACGTTGGTACAGATATGGTTTATGGAAACGGGAGTGTATGTCCCATTTTGAAAGTTTCTTTTCACTTTTAGGAGGCTTTTGGTATATTGCAGAAATACGTATTGTATATAACATTCACAAAATACTAAATGTACCAGCATTTTGAAATATTACTTTTGAAAAAGAGGTAGAGATGTCAGAATTTCAGTATAATATATTACTCTTATAAAAAATTTATAAATGGAAAAATTGAGAAAAAATAAATAAATAAAATTTAAAAATATTATAAGATATTAAAGTTTCACTGTTACAAAATATCGAAAATAAAAGTCATAATTTTTTTTATCTTCGAAGGATTTTATTATATTGGATTGCTAATTTTTCTTTTCTTTTTTTTTTTTTTCCTTATGAAAGAATTGTGGATATCAGTTTGTTGATACATGGTTCTATAGTTTATGCAAAACAGCGATTCGTATAAAGCAAGGCAATTCATAATTATTTGAAAGTCAAATTTCAACAAGTGACTAGAATACTACTGAGCTGCATCAAGATTCAAGGACATGTCTTCGAATTTCTCTTTCTATCTTCGTTTTTAAATTGTTCGTTTAAAAATTATTCGCATATCTTTCTTTCTTAATAAATAATTTTTTAAATAATTATCGCATGAAATTTAATACAAAATATACCAAACAAAAAAATTTTTTAAAAATTATAAAACGATGTAAATATATAAGTTACTTGATATACATTCAAAACTCTTTTTTACAGATTTGAAATCCAGACAGGTTCCAAAAAACTCCATTCATCTTGCCATTTAATTCTTTGCCATATATTTTCCTACACAGATTCATCTTTTGTACAGAAAAATAGCGTTAGAGATCTTGCGTAGGTCTGCCACTTCTCCTTCTCTTTTTTCTTCTCTCTTCTTTTTTTTTCTTTTTTAAAGAACGCTCTCTCGCAGAAACGATCCTACGCGAAACCACTTCTTTCATAGAGAAACGTTCCCTCTCATATAGAGACGATTCTTCATGGTTCCATCCGTTTTATAGAGAGAGCCGCTCTCATAGAAACTATCCAAAGCTTCTCTTTTTTTCTCTCTTCTTCCTTTTTCTTTATAAAAACGAAGCGAGATTCATCTCCCCGGTGCGCCAGGGGGAGGGAAGATTCTCTTAAATGCTTCCATCTATCGTAATAAAGACGCGAAACATCGTACACGTTTTCAACATTGCCAATTTCCTTTTCTTTTACTTTGTCTAATGTTATAAATTATTCTCAGATTATTTATAGATTATGAATGCCAAAGAACATCGAAAAATGAATTCTGAAATACTCACCACGGTTATATAAGAAATTTTATAATAAATATTTCCAATGCTTGTTCTTTCAATTTCAATAAACTTGTATATTTAACGGATGAATGTTGAAGTCGAGGAACGTCGTCGAATCCGTAGTAAGATATCTGCATCTACAGTATAATGGCGTGTACCGGATGTTAATGTACAATAATGCTGTTTAATTGCCCTGTATCGAGGAAAATGGCTTCTGCGTTTAATGGAACGGTGACATGATGGATAATTTGAACGAAAAAAAAAAAAATCGAGATACTTAGTGGAGGAGATATTAAAATAGTTTTAATAAAAATTTATATAGTTCATATATGATAGAAGTGAACGATATACTTTCGTTTTAAAGAGATACCTCTTCTTCTCGCACAAAAACTTTTTTGATTTTCTTCGCCGCACACTTGTCTTCGTTACGTGCTAATGCTAATAGTACGAAGTTTTATTTGGTTATAAATGTTGGAAGTTTGATAATATAATCTATTCTTTTCGCTATACACTTGTCTTAATTACGCGTGATGTTAATAATTCTCAAAGGATAATAAGATTTCCCTGCATTACCGACTAATTACAAAATGTGATCCGTAGAGTCAATGGCGACGCACGTGCATTTTTCATCCTCTTTTCGTAATTCTTATATTTTGTTCGAATCGAAATAACGATAGAAAACCTGGACGAGCAAAACCAAAAAATAAAGCCAATTGAAATAGAATAGAAGATACATATCTGTGTGTCCTTGAATTTCCTTTAATTTTCAAGTTTTATTCATTTTCAATTTATTTATCGATAACCAAAAAACAATACCTCGAACATAATTCTTTCATTCCCTTAAATTTTCACTCTTTGTATCATCGTATATCATAAGCTTAAAAAACGATTAAATACAATTGAATATCAGAAGAGTAATCACTTGAGGACCACCAATAAAAGAAATCTGTCAACGAACGTGAATCTCTCGAGAAGCATTAAAGTTACACGCGTGGGTGGCTCAAAGTCGACTCTCGTTTCGAATCGAATGTTTTAACACGGCGATCAATCATCGGCGAGCACATCAATGCGAGGACACAGTAATCCTCCTCCCACTCACGAAGGAACAATAAACTCTTTGTCACGCGTCTACCGCTTTTGCAGATAGATAACGAGCCGACCGCGCGGCCTTGCATTACAAACGATATTCGCAAGGTTGGCTCGCGGCTGCGTACACGCTCATTATGTGCTCTTCGTGGACGAAAATGCGTGAATCGAGCGTTGGAATATATCGAAGGACGAATATTTCCAATGTCCATACATCGAGGGTCATTGTGCGAATTTCAATGAAGGGGAAAAGAACGGAAAAATAGGAATCGATGAAAATGAAAGATTTTTTTTTAATTTTCCTTTTTGAAGATTGTTTTAAATTCATTTTAATTTCCGTTTAAATTTTATTCGCTTAAATTTTTATTTATCGATAGAAGAAATGAGAGAAAATTTGGAAAGTTTTGAGAAAAATATCATGAAATGTACGTTTGTCAATATTGACAATTATTTTAGAACGAAGAAAAATTGATAAACGAGATGTCCAAATATTTTTGTATACCAGCTTAACAGTAAATATATCCAAATATATTTATGCTGCATACTGTAAAAAAGAAAAAAAAATAAATAATGATGAGTTGATTATTCCTATTTTATCTAATGTAAATTTAAAATAATAACTTATAAATAGAACACGGATATTTATGCAAATGCTTATTTTTACGAAAAAAAATAGATAAAGAGATGATACTTGGACAGAAATATCTTTTATCATTGTTTTATCGTATATTACGTTGTGCTCTACATTATAAAAAAAAAAAAAAGCATCTGTGAATCGTAATCCAGATTTTTCGAGATGCCCTCCCCCCCCCCCTCCCCACCACACACACACGTTTGGTTCCTCGAACAGAGAATCGCTCTTCTCGATTGCTTAGAAAGTTTCTCAGTGGGAGGAGGCGCGCCACAGCCTTGAAAATCGACTGCTCCATCGCCACCTCGTCGAAAAAAGTGTCAAGGACGCGATAAATCGCCAATTTGGAATTTTAAGCCGTAATTTGGCCGATTGGTCCTCGACACGATCCGTCGATCTCCTTAAATGGAAACGATAATTCCTACGATTAAAGAGCAGCCCCATCCTGAGAATCACATCAGATTGGCCGAATCGCGTGAATTTGAAATCACGTATTGGCGATTTGTCGGAGAAGAGGAATCCATTTCTATTTTCATTCTTCTTTCCTTCCCCCTTTTTTTTCTTTCTTTCCTTTTAATTATTTACCAGACACGTTTCAACGAGATCAGCGATTCAACGATTCTATTTCCAACAAGATATCAATCGTGTCAAGAGATCAAATTTCTGCAAAGCTGCACGATAAATAAAGTATATAAATTCTCCGAAAGTTTGTTTTCTCGCGAGTGGGCAAAGCGAAGTGCGAAGATGGGCGAATTTTCCTTCTTATTCGTTCTCTATTCGATCGTTTCGTTGATCGGTGCATCGAAATTTGATAACTGCGAATATATAAACAATTGCAATGTGTGCACGAGTAACGGAAGCTTGGTGAAGATGAAAAGAAACGTGGACACGATAAATATTTTCGAATTGAATCTAACTTCGATCGACGAGAACACGTTCGAGGATGTGACGCCCATCAAGCTGAGCTTCTCTATCGGTAACAATATATCCAGTGTGAAGAAGGAATCGTTCAAGGGATTGGAGATGTTGAAAGAACTGGATCTGAGCAACAACATGATACTTCTCTCGCCGTATCTCTTCTCAGAATTGAAACACTTGCGTCTGCTGATTCTGAAAAACAACAAGTTCAAGGAGATACCCAAACACTCGTTCGCCGGCATACCCAACTTGAAGGAGCTCCACTTGCAACGTAATTACATCCAATCGGTCAACAACGATTCGTTTTCGGGATTGTCCTCGTTAGAGACGCTTCAACTGGACAATAACAGAATCTCTAATATAGATGCTGAATCTATTTGCCTGATGCCAAAATTGGAAGAGCTTCATCTGATGAACAACACGCTCACGTCTATCCAGCCAGGATCCTTGACGTGTCTGCACAATCTGAAACTTGTGAATTTTGCGTTCAATCGGTTGGCCAGGTTGTCCAAAACGGATTTCGAGGGATTGATGAATATAGAGAGCATGAATCTGCGCAACAATCGGATAGCCACTATCGATCCGGACACGTTCTCGCATATGGAGAAATTGAAAAACTTGTTCTAAGAACAATCAACTTACCACGATCGGTTCTCGCCTGTTCAACGGGTTGACCGCACTGAGCTCGCTTGAATTAAATAGTAATAAGATAGACACGTTGGAGCCTGGTTCCTTTGCCGATCTTAACAATCTGCATGTATTACATCTCGAAGATAACAATTTGACTGCAATGGACAGGGAGAAGGTTGGATTGACCAATTCGACTAATCTGATTGTACACGAAGGAAATACGACTACGAGTACATTTAACGAAGAGGAAGATCAAGCGACGATTTTGTATTGGTTGATAATATTGGAAAAAGATTCAATTTTAATCAAAATTGATGAGAAGAATAATCGTATTAGTTTTAATTAATACTATGTTCCTGTTAACACTAATCTTTATCCAATCTTTAATTCTCTCAAAAGAGTATAATTAAAAAAGATAAATATCGTATTTTCTAATTAAAGTAATATTTTAATCATAAATCTCATATTATGTATTAATCGCGTATTTTGAATCATGTATTTTTATCCTCTCTGTATCTTTTTCCTTTTTGAATTATTTACACTTGATAGATTCCAATGAGATCAGCAATTTTCCCTTTTTTTATTTTTTTCTTTTTCGAATTATTCACACTAGATAGAAGTTTCAACGATATAGATAATCAGTCGTGGTCTTGATTAATCGAATTTTTGCAACACCATATGCAATATACAAACCATATAAACTCTCCAAGATATTATCGTTCTTACTCTATTGAGTAAAAATATTGGCATCAAGATGGCCGAATCTTCTCTATTATCTGTTCTCTCGATCGTTCTGCCATACGTAATGATCGTCGTCGGCTCTGCAATTCTGCGAAAACATAAATTAATACATTATATGCACACGTGACAGAAACTTGACGCACATTGAAAAATTCAAATACACACCATTTGAAGCTGACACCTATCGAGGAAAACGTTTTCCAACTGAGCTTCGATGTTGATAACAATATATCCGTGGTGAGGGAATTGAAAAGGGATTGAAGGACTTGAGAAACTTAGATCTGAATAATAACGTGATACCTCTCTCGCCGAATCTGTTCTCGAAATTGAAACAGTTGCGTTCATTGTCCCTTAAATTCGACAAGATCAAGGAAATATTCAAAGATTCGTTCGCTGGTCAAAGTTGGAGAAATTGTACTTCGAACAATTGATCAAAACTGGATCATAATTGCCTTCGTCAACTCGTATTGAAAAACAGCAAACTGACATCTATACATGGATCCTAAAAAAACTTGCATTAGATTAGATCTATTGATCTTGGATCTATAAATCAGCTTATATATAATCGAAACAGACTTAAAAGGACCGACTAACCTGAGAATGTTGTTTGCAAATAATAATCAGATAACCAATTAAGCCAGACACGTTTTCAGTTTCTGAAGAAATATTGTCTCTGAGAGTAAATAATCTGGTCACGATTGAGAGTCAGATATTTAATGGATTGCCAAGTGAAAAAAGTCGTTTTGTCCTATTATGGGATTAAAGGAGAGCAAATCTTCCAGTGCTGAAAACATTAAATCTCGAACAAAATAATTTAACTGCAGCGGACAAGATAAAACTTGGATTGATCACTTCGATTGATGTGTATATATATATAAGAATGTACTAATCTTTGGATGACGTGTTTAAATGTTATGTAATGTTTTGAAGAATATAGAAATTAAAACGAAGTATGTGGTTACTGATTCGATAAATTTTAGTTGATGTAAACTTTATTTTTTTCTATATTTAGAGATTATAATAATTATTAATAAAGAAACAAATATTGAGAAATTTTTTAATTATTTCAATTTTTTAATTAATACATTCATTATGTGCGAACATATTATAAATTTTTCCAAGAAATGTGAAAAAGAATTTTTCAATCAATATCCGACTTTCCTTTTATATAAGCTTTATATAATATATTTATTTTGTAAAAAAAATCTTGATTAATAATAAAAATATATTAAAATGAAACAATTGTCTCATATAAATAGAATTGAAAATATAAACATGAATTTTGAATACTTATAATTCTATATTAAATAAACTAATTTTACCTATAATCAGCCAATTATTCCATAATTTTTCAAAGATTCCCAAAGATTTCCAATATTATTCTTTTTGTTCTCTTTTTCTTTCGATAAATGTCGAAATATGTATCTTGATTCGAGTTGAATCGAAGATTGATCGATCGATCATTATCATAAATTCGATTTAATTCACTCTTCTCTTTCATTCTTTCGATTTATCGAAGCGAATTGCAACCATCTTCATTGCAAGATGTATTGCGATCAAAATAGTCGAATCTTCTCTTATTATTTATTCTTTCAATTATTTTATCATTTTTAATAATCATCGCAATTAACGTGTATACGTATAAACTACTACTGTGCGTGCAATTTAGTCTAAACACACGAAACACGCAAAATATTCGCAATTTCTGATAGCTATAAAAGAAAACGTTTTAGCTTGATATCGATAATAATATATTCGTGGTGAAGAGAGAATCATTCAAGGAATTGAGATGATTGAAAACGCTAAATATGAACGAGAACTCGATATCTCTCTCGTCGAATCTGTTCTCAAAAAGGTTAGAAATACTATTACTCTTAAATCAAACAAGATCAAAGAAATTTTGAAAGATACGTTCGCCCTATCTATTTTAAAAAGCTTTTCTTGCGTCACAACAACATCCAATCGATCAACAACCACTCATTTTCGAAATTTTGAAATCTACAATGGATTGTATATGCTTTAGCATTATTTTTGAATAAATTGATATTTATCCAATCAATGTCCTAAAACATTACATTTTTTATTCTTGGCAAAATCAGCTGAACAATATAATCCAAAATAGGCTTTAAAGGATTGACCAGCCTGAAGTTATTATACCTGAACGAAAATCGGATAACCAATATTAAACCAAATATTTTTCAGATTTGAAGCAGTTGTAAATAGTTGTTAACCCTGTTTGGAAACAAACTGTCCACGATTCTGTAGTATTCAATGGATTGAACTATTTATACGACCTGGATTTATCCTAAAACAGAATCGGTTCAATAGAATTCAATGTTTTTTTTGAAGTCATTACGTTTAACCAATAATAACCAATATATTACCTGAACAAGAAATATCTTGGATTAAACAGATCGTACGATGATGATGTTCTGTGTGTATGTATGTGAAAATTATGTTATTGATTTCTTTTAATCTATTTTCTTTTTTTTTTATACATATATTATTTATTCTTGATTTGTATGTGAATTCACGAACTAATTCTAAGTTTTTAGTTCAAACAATAAGTGCCTACTTATCAACATATAAACACAATACAAACGGGATGTAATTTTTGAATATTTAAATTACTATTGAGACGATAAGAAAATGTGTTAATGCAATCTGGTATTAATCAGGCGTTGTATTATTAGATGGACGATAACCTTAAATCGTCGAGAGAGAATTGAATGTGCGAATGAAGTTAAAAGTTTTGCTTCGAAAGACGACAGACGGCGTAGCAATCGCATCGTGTTTTTTCTGGAATCCCTTCTACTATTGAGAGTATAACAAAATCTAGAAACTGGTAACTATTGTTACTATTTATCCATGATCATTGTAGAATGAAATTAGGCATTTCTATTATTCTTCTATTTTATCTCTTTATATTTTCAACTTCATGCTTTCTTATTCTATTCTCTTCTATTTTCTTCCTGAATAGATTTATTCGCCGTCACTTTTCGATTCTTTATCGAACGTTCGAAGTCTCGACTGGCCAGGAATAATTAGCCCTGTTTCGAATCGCTTAATTTACCTTGAAAAAGCACAAGGCACGTTCAAAGAATAGCCCGCTGGGGGAAAGTAGGTCGTGGAGAAAAAAGACAGCCTCTCTTGCCGAGTGCCGGCTGGGAAAACCGACGACGCAAGTTCACGGTCGTGTCCCGGCTACGTGGAACTAGGCTGGTGTTGCTCTCGCCTTCCTCCCTTCTGCCGTTTTTCAGTGCACGAGGACGGAATCGGGGATGCGTGCACCACGTCTAAATTTTGCACTTTTGCACTCTGTACACGCAAATTAAAACCTATTATCTTTTTTCTTTTTAAAGGATTTGAAATTTGCCTGAAAGTTGGAACAAAATTATCGAAAGTAATGACGAATATCACGAAGGATGAAAATCATATGAAAGATCATCGTATGCGCCAAATTTTTTGTTTTTACAACTTAAAAAAAAAAAAAAAAAAAAGGTAAAATGCGTATTCTACACAAATAGAAATACGATAGCGAAATCAACTGAAAATGAATTTTATTTTCTCGCAAAAACAACCGTGTCAAAGATCGTGTCCTCGATTCAATCGAAGTTTGCTGCACAACGCACATAAATTCTCGATAAGATCAAAGATTATTCTTGTAGTAGTCTGAAAGCTCAACATGATCAAATGTTTTCTATGGTCCAAGAAGGATCCAAGAACAGCCTGTTCATTCACCTGAACTTACTACAAACTATTGGAAAAAACGCTTTCAAAAAAACTTTAACATAACGGAATTGAATCTCAGTTTGAATAATTGAACATCTCTGTGGTGGAATGAGAATGGTTCAAAAGTTTGCAAAAATAAAAACGTCTAGACTTGGACAATAATCTGATACCTCTCTCGCCAAATTTGTTCTCAGAATTGGCACAATTGTGACTGGCTGTCAAACAATACATCCAAAGACTCGTTTACTGGTCTGCACAAGTTAATCTGTCCCTACTTAAGTCACAATGGTATCCAGTCGACGATCAACAAGGATTCATTTTTGGAATTGTCTTTTTGTCGTTACTGTTATACTTCTGGTTGGAGGTATAATGGGATCTCCAATATAGAGGTTGGAACGTTGGAAATCAGACTAATTTGACTTCATACTTCACCTGGAGAATAACAATTCGACATCTATTTAAGGAGTCTTAAGAGATCTGCATAAGTTGGATCGTTCGTTCTTGGAGAAAAATGAGCTGAACATCATATCATCCAAGACAGATTTCGAGGGATTGAACAACGATATTGTCTATCAACGGATTACAATAGAATCGAGCCGGATGCTTTTTTCAGATCTGAAAAAATTGAAACAATTAAATCTGATCCATGATGAATCGAGTCTCGGTGTATTGTTCTCCTTGCATTTCCTCGATTTATCTATCAATAAGATTAAAAAAGCTTTCACAAATCTTCAAGCCTTGATAACTTTATACTATAATGATTTAACTTGCCTTTGAACAAGAAAGATGTCGAATCGGTATTCATTTTTACGTTTATTACTTTTTAGTGCATATTTGATTCTCTCTTAAAAATCCTATTCTTCCATTATCCGAAAAATTTCTTAACCTATTATTTGCTCGTTCGATCAGGTTCGTGACCAGTTCGAAGAATCGTGGCCTTTAAACGATTCTCTGCAACGTAACACGAATAATTCGCAGAAACGTGTTGGAAATGATTAAGTAAATGGTACGAGGTTGAGAGCCACGTTTCCACGCGAGATAATCGTGTCAGGGGTCGTGGCCCCCGTCTCCAATCCCAATGCAACTCTGTGCAATCCAACAAAGGATATAAACTCGTCGAAGAGAGGCGTTCCAGACACCCGTTGTTGGCGCGTGAAAACCCGGCCGATCGAGACGATGGAAAAAACTCCTCCGCTCTTCTCCACCCTCCCGCTCGTTCTTCTCCTCCTGTTGACGATCGTCCGATCTCAGGAGCTCGCACCTCAGTGCAAACGGATAACCGGGTACGAGGTGTGCGAGAGGAAAGGCACTCTGGTGGACGTCACCCAACAGGAATTCGAGGACAGGCTGGATATCCACGACATGAATCTGCTCTCTATCAGGGAGAACGCGTTCAAAAATCTGTCCACGACAAAGCTCAGCCTCGGTTTGGGTAACAAGATATCGGTGGTGAGGAGGGAATCGTTCAAAGGATTGGATAAATTGGCGCGACTGGACCTGGACAGCAACGCGATACAACTATCGCCTAATTTGTTCTCCGAGTTGAAACAGTTGAACTCGTTGTCCCTCATCTTCAACAGGATCGACGACATACCCAGGGACACGTTTGCAGATCTGTCCAACTTGATGTGGTTGTATTTGGGGCACAACGATGTCCGATCCATCGATAAAAATTCGTTCTCGGGATTATCATCGTCGTTGCTGTTCCTCTGGTTGAACGACAATAAGATTTCCAGCATAGAGAGTGGCACGTTTGGCCAGATGCCAGAGTTGACCCGCCTTCATCTGGAGAACAATAAGTTGACGTCCATCCGGCAAGGGGTATTCAAGGGTTTGCACAAGTTGGACGGCTTGTTTTTGGAGCACAATCAGTTGGCCAGGGTGTCGAAGACGGATTTCAAAGGATTGATCGGTCTCAGGATCTTGAATCTACATCACAATCGGATAGAGAGTATCGAGGAGGATGCGTTCTCGGACATGAAACAATTGGAACAGTTGGATCTCAGGAAGAACCAATTGTCCACGATCGAGGCTCGAGTGTTCAGCGGGTTGACCAGCTTGAAGAAGTTGGATTTGTCCGACAATAAGATAGGCGTAGTGCGGCCTGCCGCGTTTGAAGGTCTTCCAGCCCTGAAAACGTTGAATCTCGCGAATAATAATTTGACCGGCGTGGACAGGAAGAACTTTGGTTTGACCAGTTTGACCATTCTGTACACCTAAGGATGTATAATAATAATAATAATAATAATAATAATAATAATAATAATCTTTATTTGGTGTTTTGTGACGAGAATTTGTAGAAATTAGAGCAATAAAGAGGTGCGAGGTTTGTGTTGAATTATTTTTTTTGTTCTTTTAAATTATTATTTTTATATATTTCCGTAAAAGTTAATCGTTTTCTGTGAAAAAAATCACACGCAGAACGGTGTCACGTATACGAGATTGTCGTTAATCACGCTGACCAACGTTAGATAAGTGCAAACTTGTGTCGGGTCGTTCTTCTTTCTCGTGTTATCAGTGAACAACAAGAGCGGGGTCAAGTGTTGAGGTTTTAAACGCGTACGTTGTTCTATATGTCTCTTCAATAAACACAAGAAAAAATGTTGACTGAATTAATTAATTAAATTAATCGAAATGCCGAGGGAATTTGTCGATTTTTTTTTATTTTGAATTTTAAAATTAAACATTTCAAAATTTTTCATTCTAAAATTAAACATTCAGGAACTAATGGAATCGTTTAACTTTTAAAATTGTTAAAAAAAATGTGAAATTTTTCGAAGTGGAAGATGACTGAAAATTAGGAAAAATATGTACAAAATTATAATTGTCATGGCAAAAAATAAAAATTGAATTTTTTTATACTTACATTTACGCGTTGGAAAAAGAAAATTGTTTTTGTATTAAAGAAAGAAAGTATATAAAGCGATAGGTAAAGATATTCTCGAGAAAAATATTCGGATCGGAATAGTCAAGTAGCTTTGGAAGCTCTCCCATGTAGGAATTCTAAATCCATGCTCGAAAATAGAATAGGATGCTGAAAACATCTCAAATGGTTCAACGAGTAGACTCCAGGTTTCGTATATCAAATTTGACCGGAGTTCAAATCTTCTAAAACAATTAAGATTCGTTTCTTTCGAATTCTAAATTTTCTGATAAAAATAAACGTTATAAGAAAAAATGAAAATTTAAAAAAATTCTTTCTAGCATAAAATAATAATCTTGCAATTAAATGATAGATTAAAAAAAAATTACAGAAATTTAAATACAAATAATATTAAAATTGTAAAAAAATTTAGGGAAAAATGTTATCGATATTGAAAATAAATTTGAGTTATAGCGTGTATAATATAACGAAAAATTCGAATGACTCGCCACCATCAATCTGGATTTTTCTAATGCATAAAAATCGTTGGAGATTAGTTCGACTACTAGAAAGAGGAGCCACCTTCGCGCCAAGGAGGAGATAAACCAATTTGTCAAGATTCCGTCCTTCATACATAAAATCCGATCGATCTTCGTGGAATGAAATCAATCATTCTATAAATAAACACCTACGCGTCGTCGAAGGTTGACATTTCACTGAATACTTCGTAGACAATTGTCGCGCGACGACTCTTTGAGAACAATTTACACACCAGAAATTTACAAAGCTTTTTACAAGAATACAATGCCAAGCAAAACCGCGCCATTCTCTCAGGCGAGAATAAAAGTCCCCTGTGACATCATATATATCCTCTAACTTCATTCCCTAATTAAATTCTCAACTCAATTCACGCCCTTAAACGATATGTGTAACTCTCACGAGTTTCCAAACGATCCAAACATTATCCGCATATATACTTTATCAACTTATACACTCCCAAAATATCGATTACAACGCATGTACACTCGATTTGATTCGCTCGAAATACAAATACGATCCACGTTAAATAGAAATATCGTTTGACATATGTCATCGCATTAGCACGAGACCTGATATTCATTACAAGGACTCGATTGGTGTACTCGCACCAGTCATTGAATCGGCACGAGTGAAAGTGCGCTTTTTGAGCAGTCGTTGCGCGACATTACACGCATATATCATTTCAGAAAACGGATACTCGTGCGAGCCTCGACGATCCGGTGTATCCATATTGGAGTAGGAGGAGAGACAGACACCTCTGGATTTGATTTACAGCGAGAACGCATTCGGGATGCATTCGAGAACTGTGAACGTGACTGGAACATGGAATAGCGAGTTAGAAACGTTTGAAAAGCGTGAAATTATTGGGTTGGAATATACATAAATGTCGTTGCTCGAGTTTGAAAAGACGATACTGCTACAAGCTGTTTAATTTCATTGCCTGTGAAGGCTATCCGTTTTACATTATTGGCAAAGAAATTTTAACGAGAAACGAAATTTTCGAATTCGATTTTGCTTAATTCTGCGCGAACTGAAGTTTCGTCGTGCAAAAAAAAAAAGAAAAAATTTAGAAGAAGCGAGGGGAAAATACTTCTGGAAAATACTTCTGCTTTTCCAGTCGCGACGTATCGAGTTTCGTATTTGCAACACATGTTCCAACGCGCGAAGGAAATTTCTTTTAAAAAAAAAAAAAAACGTTTACATCGAATGGTTTCCAAGTTCCAGCTATCGTTGCTCGTTCGACTGTTATTTTCTACGATTTATTACAGGTCATCTGGCCGGCAAGCCAAGCCAATTAAATCCAATCTCCTGCCATCGTGAGAGAGGGCGTCGATATCGTGGAAGATACTTTTTACTCTCGGTTCACAGGATTCTGGATCGACGATTCTCGAGGAATAAACCGATAAAATCTGGTCGATACTGGGATTCGTTCCTCCGACCAATTAAGCCGTTTCCAAAGTTGATACGTGTCCCACGTTTCTGTCCATTGTTCGGCGAACATCGTTTCTTATCTTCCACCTAAAATCAAATTATAACCAATTATCAAATATTTCTCAAGAAGTTTTAAAAATAAATTTTTCAATAACTTATATATATAATGTTTTAGAATTGTTGAGATCGATTTTTCTGTACAGTCAAGGTCAAGAGTGTGCCAAGATGGTCGCACAATTATCGCGGATCATCCTCGTGCAAGCTCGAGAGTTCATCAGCTTGCCCATTCACGTTCACAAAACCCCAAATTCTCTGCCCATTGTTTCTCTGTTGATTAGTGCGCACTCTTGAAACTCCACAAGAGACGTTTGAAAGAGTCAGAAAGGCGAGGCGATCGAATATCTCTTTTAACAAACGGTTCTCTTGTCGCTTTATTCCGCATAAATCTTGCAATATCCACCCTCGTTTCGAAATTTAATAATAAACATGATTTAAACGTGAGATTGGTATCAAAATGTGTCGTATCAAATTGTTTCACATTTTATATCCGCTTGGATTTTAGTTATCCAACGGAGAAGACGGCGATAAATCCAACGATTTTCCATCCCCTCGGCTCTTTAACGTGTCAAACGGGGATAAGGGAAAGTGGAGGTCGCGCGAGGATTCGATTCCCAAGTGGTCAAACTCTCGGTGGAAAAACGAGACGACGAGCGACCCTCTTGCATCGTCGTCGCCATGCAAGAATCTATCCTCTCCTCGATTTTTATCCGCTTCGGTAATCTTTCCCCTCCGCTCTTATTCTGTTATTTGGCGAAAAGCGTTTTTGAATAAAAGGGTTCGAGAGGCCGAGAGTTTCGATCGTCCAGGCTGGAATGAAAAACCAGATTAGAAATCTTCGAGAATTTTTCAAAATTCAATTTGGAAATCGCGTTTGAAGTTTGTCTATGGAGAGTTTGTTTCTTAAAATTTTTGAGTAATTTGTACGTTTGATTTTAGATGCGATTGGATCTAGAGTAATCCATATAGATATAGCGTCTAAACTTACCTAATTTTCGTTATCGTAATTAGACTGGGATAAGTTGATCAGGAGATAAACCTTTATCGTCCAAACTTGTCCAATTTTCGTTATCGTTTACCTTTAAGTTCGGTTAAGCCAGCCGAATCAAATGATTAAATCAAAATTTCAGAATTTTTCCTCTTCGACAATCCAATCCAACCAAGAATTAAATCAATAATAATTAATGAATCTAAAACTAGAGATTTTTAAATCTCTCTTTCATTCTTTTCCTATAAATAATAATTACAAATACTTAAAAGAGAATTCGTTAATTTATTTTACAAATTGCACGTTATTATGATATACCAGAAGATAATACTTCTCTTCCACCGTGTGTCATGTTACATTCTCTCCAAATTCACAGCTCTTTTTTCCTCGAGAGTGCTTCAGCTTGAATTATTCCTATTCCAAAGGATTTAACAGCAAACAAACGTTTCCACCATCGCTGAATTCAGTAATTCCCTGGGTATTACTGAAAAACTTTAATTATAAAGGACTGCTTGTGATATTGGATGCTTTTATAGAAAAGCTGTTGCAAGAACGAAAAAAAAAAAAAAGAAGAGAGAGAAAAAGAAAATCAGATATTTATACTCACGTGCAGAAGAATATTTGAAAAATTATACACGTGAACCACCGATAAGAAACCAAAGATTGTACGTGAATATATAGTCTGTGACAAAATAACACATCTATTTTCTATGTTTCTTGAAATTAATCCAGTGTATGCAACTAAAACCAATTTATAAAATTTATTCAAAAATGTTATGCACAAGACGAAAGTTAAGATACTATAATTATGCTTGAAGTTAATATTAATTTTGCTAAAAGCATTTGAATAAAAAAATGATTGCACAGAGAATGAAAAGATTTCTTAAACATAAAAATATTGATTTTTGTAATTTTTCTCGATACTTTTGCCCATTAAGCTATCTTAATTTTTTGCAACCATATGATTTTTCTTTAAAACACGTATCGTTGAATTTATTCCAGAAATACTGAAAATCATTTTGTCGCCACCGAGAGTGAATTCAAAGCACAGAAATGGTCTACCTGGAAAATTAAAATATCGAGATATCGAGATATATCTCTTCCAAACCAGAGACTCGTTTTTCGTTAATTGCGCTACCATCTTAATATCACTGTGCATGCATGCTCTAGTGCACTAAGATACACAGAAGAAGGGAGAGAGGAACGTTGCGTGAAAGATACTCTTCTGATACGTTGAAAACATCGTCTTTAATTCTTTAGATGAAAACGATGGCTTGAAAATATCTTCTTCTCGTGGAAATGTATTCGAACGCTGTCTGGGGATTTCAATTGATATTAGCGCGAGATG